TCCAAAACCGCCATTAAAAAGCCAGACTACGGTTTGCAACTGCACATGGGGACAAAGATCTTACTTTTTGAAGAAATGTCCTCTGGTCTGATGAAACAAAAATAGAACTGTTAGGCCATAATGACCATCTTTATATTTGGAGGAAAAAGGGGGATTTGGAAGCCGAATAACACCATCCCAACCGTGAAGCACGGGGGTGGCAGCATCATGCTGTGGGGGTGCTTTGCTGCAGGAGGGACTGGTGCACTTCACAAAATAGATGGCATCATGAGGAAGGAAAATTATGTGGATATATTGAAGCAACAGCTCAAGACATCAGTCAGGAAGTTAAAGCTTGGTCGCAAATGGGTCTTCCAAATGGACAATGACCCCAAGCATACTTCCAAAGTTGTGGGAAAATGGCTTAAGGACAACAAAGTCAAGGTATTGGAGTGGCCATCACAAAGCCCTGACCTCAATCCTATAGAACATTTGTGGGCAGAACTGAAAAAGCGTGTGTGAGCAAGGAGGCCTACAAACCTGACTGAGTTACACTGGCTCTTTAAAAAACACTGGCTCTTTTTAACCTTTATTTAACTAGGCAAGTCAGTTAAGAACAAATTCTTATTTACAATGACGGCCTACACCGGCCAAACTCTGTCAGGAGGAATGGGCCAAAATTCACCCAACTTGTTGTGGGAAGCTTGTGGAATGCTACCTGAAACGTTTGACCCAAGTTAAACAATTTAAAGGCAATGCTACCAAATACTAATTGAGTGTATGTAAACTTCTGACCCACTGGGAATGTGATGAAAGAAATAAAAGATGAAATAAGTCATTCTCTCCACTATTATTCTGACATTTCACATTCTTAAAATAAAGTGGTGATCCTGACTGACCTAACACAGGTAATGTTTTACTAGGATTAAATGTCAGGAATTGTGAAAAACTGAGTTTAAATGTATTTGGCTAAGGTGTATGTAAACTTCCGACTTCAACTGTATATAGTGGTATTTCTATTTGTATTACCATTTAAAACATTTATTTCACTAGTCCTGCATGTTGGAGCTCGAAACCTAAGATTTTCACTGTACCCTTCAATCACACCTGCAACCCTGTACATGTGACTATTAAACAATCTGAATCTCTGAATGAACTACATTGGATGTCATGTATCATATCTTGTTATACACTACCGGTCAAAGGTTTTAGAACACCTACTCATTCAAGGGTTTTTCTTTATTTTTACTATTTTCTAGACATCAAAAATATGAAATAACACATATGGAATCATGTAGTAACCAAAAAAGCGTTAAACAAATCAAAATACACTGCTTTAAGGGAACACTTAAACAACACAATGTAACTCCAAGTCAATCACACTTCTGTGAAATCAAACTGTCCACTTAGGAAGCAACACTGATTGACAATAAATTGCACATGCTGTTGTGCAAATGGAATAGACAACAGGTGGAAATTATAGGCAATTAGCAAGACACCCCCAATAAAGGACTGGTTTTGCAGGTGGTGACCACAGACCACTTCTCAGTTCCTATGCTTCCTGGCTGATGTTTTGGTCACTTTTGAATGCTGGCGGTGCTTTCACTCTGGTGGTAGCATGAGACGGAGTCTACAACCCACACAAGTTGCTCAGATAGTGCAGCTCATCCAGGATGGCACATCAATGCGAGCTGTGGCAAGAAGGTTTGCTGTGTCTGTCAGCGTAGTGTCCAGAGCATGGAGGCGCTACCAGGAGACAGGCCAGTACATCAGGAGACGTGGAGGAGGCCGTAGGAGGGCAACAACCCAGCAGCAGGACTGCTACCTCCGCCTTTGTGCAAGGAGGAGCAGGAGGAGCACTGCCAGAGCCCTGCAAAATGACCTCCAGCAGGCCACAAATGTGCATGTGTCTGCTCAAACGGTCAGAAACAGACTCCATGAGGGTGGTATGAGGGCCCGACGTCCACAGGTGGGGGTTGTGCTTACAGCCCAACACCGTGCAGGACGTTTGGCATTTGCCAGAGAACACCAAGATTGGCAAATTCGCCACTGGCGCACTGTGCTCTTCACAGATGAAAGCAGGTTCACACTGAGCACATGTGACAGACGTGACAGAGTCTGGAGACGCCGTGGAGAACGTTCTGCTGCCTGCAACATCCTCCAGCATGACTGGTTTGGCGGTGGGTCAGTCATGGTGTGGGGTGGCATTTCTTTGGGGGGCCGCACAGCCCTCCATGTGCTCGCTAGAGGTAGCCTGACTGCGTTAGGTACCGAGATGAGATCCTCAGACCCCTTGTGAGACCATATGCTGGTGCGGTTGGCCCTGGGTTCCTCCTAATGCAAGACAATGCTAGACCTCATGTGGCTGGAGTGTGTCAGCAGTTCCTGCAAGAGGAAGGCATTGATGCTATGGACTGGCCCGCCCGTTCCCCAGACCTGAATCCAATTGAGCACATCTGGGACATCATGTCTCGCTCCATCCACCAACGCCACGTTGCATCACAGACTGTCCAGGAGTTGGCGGATGCTTTAGTCCAGGTCTGGGAGGAGATTCCTCAGGAGACCATCCGCCACCTCATCAGGAGCATGCCCAGGCGTTGTAGGGAGGTCATACAGGCACGTGGAGGCCACACACACTACTGAGCCTCATTTTGACTTGTTTTTAGGACATTACATCAAAGTTGGATCAGCTTGTAGTGTGGTTTTCCACTTTAATTTTGAGGGTGACTCCAAATCCAGACCTCCATGGGTTGATACATTTGATTTCCATTGATAATTTTTGTGTGATTTTGTTGTCAGCACATTCAACTATGTAAAGAAAAAAGTATTTAATAAGATTATTTAATTCATTCAGATCTAGGATGTGTTATTTTAGTGTTCCCTTTATTTTTTTGAGCAGTGTATATTATATCTTCAAATAGCCACCCTTTGCCTTGATGACAGCTTTGCACACTCTTGGCATTCTCTCAACCAGCTTCATGAGGTATTCACCTGGAATGCATTTCAATTAACAGGTGTGCCTTCTTAAAAGTTTGAGCCAATCAGTTGTGTTGTGACAAGGTAGGGGGGTATAAAGAAGATAGCCCTATTTGGTAAAAGAGCAAGTCCATATTATGGCAAGAACAGCTCAAATAAGCAAAGAGAAATGACTGTCCATCATTACTTTAAGACATGAAGGTCAGTCAATACGGAAAATGTCAAGAACTTTGCAGTCGCAAAAACCATCAAGCGCTATGATGAAACTGGCTCTCATGAGGACCGCCACAGGAATGGAAGACCCAGAGTTACCTCTGCTGCAGAGGATAAGTTCATTAGAGTTACCAACCTCAGAAATTGCAGCCCAAATAAATGCTTCACAGAGTTCAAGTCACAGACACATCTCAACATCAACTGTTCAGAGTGTGAATCAGGCCTTTGTGGTCAAATTGCTGCAAAGAAACCACTTCTAAAGGATACCAAGAATAAGAAGAGACTTGCTTGGGCCAAGAAACACGAGCAATGGACATTAGACTGGTGGAAATGTGTCCTTTGGTCTGGAGTCCAAATTGAAGATTTGTCTTTGTGAAATGCGGTGTGGGTCAACGGATTATCTCTGCATGTTTATTTCCCACCGTAAAGCATGGAGGAGGAGGTGTGATGGTGTGGGGGTGCTTTGCGGTGACACTGCCTGTGATTTATTTAGAATTCAAGGCACACGTAACCAGCATGGCTACCACAGCATTCTGCAGCGATACGCCATCCCATCTGGTTTGGGCTTAGTGGGACTATCATTTGTTTTTCAACAGGATAATGACCCAACACACCTCCAGGCTGTGTAAGGGCTATTTTACCAAGAAGGAGAGTGATGGAGTGCTGCATCAGATGACCTGGCCTCCACAATCCCCCGACCTCAACCCAATTGAGATGGTTTAGGATGAGTCAGACGGCAGAGTGAAGGAAAAGCAGCCAACAAGTGCTCAGCATATGTGGGAACTCCTTCAAGACTCTTTGAAAAGCATTCCAGGTGAAGCTGGTTGAGAGAATGCCAAGAGTGTGCAAAGCTGTCATCAAGGCAAAGGGTGGCTATTTGAAGAATCTCAAATATAAAATATATTTTGATTTGTTTAACACTTTTTTGGTTACTACATGATTCCATATGTGTTATTTTATAGTTTTGATGTCTTCACTATTATTCTACAATGTAGAAAATAGTAAGAATAAAGAAAAACCCTTGAATGAGTAGGTGTTCTAAAACTTTTGACCGGTAGTGTATACTGTATACTTTATGTGTGTCTTTAGAGTCATGCTAATCTTGGTATTACTTTAAGTTCCTGTCATGACCCAAAGTATGCACATCTACATGCATACTGTACATGCGCATATACACATGCATTCACATACACAACATATGTACACACATACACCACATATGCATGCAATAGTCCTGTCAAGAATTTAATCCCAATTCCCCATATCAACTTCACAACCTTTCATTTACAGTGACAGAGTGATAAAGAAAACTCTATATATAAAAACAACATCGATATTAACAAAATAAAAATAATATAATCAAGTCAAACATACAATGACAACATTTGGCGAGCATGAGAATGTGTGTGGAATATTCTCGTTTTGGGCAGCCATGCCATTTCTTTCAGACAACTCACCAAATCACAGACATCGGAGTCAAAAACATTGGCGGTGTTTCAGGCCTTTACTAACGTTTCCATTCCAGAATGTTTGAGGTTTCCTGAGAATGTCCCAGCTATTATAAACACATTGTCATATAAATAGAATTCCTATGGCATGAAAATGTGTTTTCTAAGACTGTTTCCTCTCTTCTTTTGTTCCGTTCTCACTCTTTTCCCTCTCTTTCTGGGATGAAAGAGGGGTGTTTGGGGTTCAGCAGAGTGGTAGATGGATATACAGAGCTACAAGGCTACACATTTAGCCCTTGACTTTTATTTGGTAATAAGGCCTTATAGCGATTAAAAAAATAAATATATAGTACTAAAACCCGCCGGAGGTAACTTCATGGGATCTTAGAAAGTCTGTAAAAATGTCTTGAGCTGAAGCGTTTCGTCCACTGATATCCTGTTGTGGTAGAAGCTGAGTCCAGTCAGGAGCTCTACGTCTCGGACCCGGGCAACATGGAACTGGGCCCACTCCTGGACCCACTGGAAGTCCGAGCCATTCTAAGGAGACAATGAGAGGAAGGGAAAGGAGTCACTAACGATACAAACAGCAAAACTAGAGAGGATCTCATATGTTCGCCAGACCTGGGTCAAATATACAATCAAATACTTTGAAATTCCTGAAAATATTTCAGGTGCAGTTGATTTAGCTTGGAATTTGCACTTTTGAGACTATTTAATTGGTTGCACTGTACAGGGCAACCTAAATGAAGTGCTGCTCAAGTATTTGAAAGTATTTGACATACAGCATCTATTTGACCCAGGTCTGATTATCTCAGCCATCCTTTGGTCTGTTGACATGTTACATTTCCTCAACGGGGTTTTCCTCAACAGGGTGGCCAGCCAGCCAGCCAGATAGAGTGGTGTGACTCACAGCGCAGGTCTCAGTGTGGTCAGGTCTATGGGGGAGGATGAAGGAGGTGGTCTCCAGGGGACCCTGGCAGTCAGCAGGGGAGAAGGATGAGTTCCCACAGCTGGTCATGATCACATAGAAGTGAGTGGGGATGGGAGCCTCGTCTCTGCATGAGAGAAATATGGAAATATGTTCATGTTAATGTAATATATACAACTGAAAATCATAAAAAAGCAAAAAAAACAGCAGCAACAACAACACTCATGGATGATAATGAACACTTACTGTGTGCTAACTGTAGGAGCATCAAAGTGTCCGTCGTAGTGCTGGTCAAAGATAGGTCCACTCATAACGTTAACCCCATTCAGCTGCTGGGAATATTTCACCAGGAGGACATCATGGAAGTACGTCCAAACATCTGCAAATATACGATCATATACTAAATGTCTTAGAGTAGGACTGCTGATCTAGAATCAGTTTTCCCTTTTAGATCATAATAAATGTGATTAAATGGACAGTTGGGGGACCTGATCCTAGATCAGCATTTCTACTATGTAGACTTCCACCATTTGCCACCAGAGGGCAGTGTCAGTAAAGTTATCCACAGAGCGCTATGTTATTGGATTAAAAAATAAATCAATTTGTGGGAAAGAAAATGAGTTGCATCATATCATATCATACTTCATAAACCACTTGTTATGATGGATTACTCTTTCTGTGTCCACGGGCATCAACAAAAGTGACAACACAACCATTTGCATCTCAGTTTCATCAATATGGACCACTATCCCATGACTGAGTGCCAAACAGTATCCTATTCCGGGACACAGCCCAGTGTTTAAAACTCTGTGGTATTATTCTTCATCACAGTAGACATGACCCCAAGCAATATTAGCAACATCGTCTGTCTTGGAAAGTCAGGAACAGACCTTTAGCTGTACTACCAACACATTGACGGTCTATGAGTAATTATACCACAAGTTGTTATTGGAATGTTGCATAAGGAGTGCTAATGTATTCACGTCGACATTACGTGCCAAGTACAGAGTACAAAATGGAGTGGGATTTTGAACGTAACAATCTCCCCTTCTTTACAATAGCATTGCAAGCAATCACTTTTGTCGAGCCAGTTACACAGAATGGAAACTGAACAATAAAACACTAAAGAGAGCTTAGAGAGTCGGCTGGGTTTTTACCGTGACCACTGTCTGATAATACGGTAACTCCCTACTGCACTACTAGTGTACACTACTGTCGCCTAGGCAAAATGTTACAGAAAACCTATATCTACTGAATCAATGGCCCACTATGACCTCATGCAGTGCGACACATCTCCTTCACATAGAGTTAATCAGGCTGTTGATTGTGGCCTGTGGAATGTTGTCCAACTCCTCTTCAATGGCTGTGCGAAGTTGCTGGATATTGTCAGGAACTGGAACACGCTGTCGTACACGCCAATCTAGAGCATCCCTGGTGAGTATGCAGGCCATCGAAGAACTGGGACATTTTCAGCTTCCAGGAATTGTGTACAGATCCTTGCGACATGGGGCTGTGTATTATCATGCTGAAACATGAGGTGATGGTGGCGGATGAATGGCACGACAATGAGCCTCAGGATCTCATCACGGTATCTCTGTGCATTCAAATTGCCATCGATAAAATGCAATTGTGTTCGTTTTCCGTAGCTTATGCTACGGGGCACTCTGTTCACAACGTTGACCAGCAAACAGCTCGCCCACATGACGCCATACACACTGTCTGCCATCTGCCCGGTACAGTTGAAACCGGGATTCATCCGTGAAGAGCACACTTCTCCAGCGTGCCAGGGGCCATCAAAGGTGAGCATTTGCCCACTGAAGTCAGTTACGACGCCGAACTGCAGTCAGGTCAAGACCCTGGTGAGGACGACGAGCACGCAGATGAGCTTCCCTAAGATTGTTTCTGACATTTTGGGCAGAAATTCTACGGTTGTGCAAACCCACAGTTTCATCAGCTGTCCGGGTGGCTGGACTCAGACAATCCCGCAGGTGAAGAAGCCGGATGTGTAGGTCCTGGGCTGGCGTGGTTACACGTGGTCTGCGGTTGTGAAACCGGTTGGATGTACTGCCAAATTCTCTAAAGCGGCTTACGGTAGAGAATTTAACATTAAAACAGCTCTGGTGGACATTCCTGCATGCCAATTGCTCGCTCCCTCAAAACTTGAGACATCTGTTGTGTGACAAAACTGCACATTTTAGAGTGGCCTTTTATTGTCCCCAGAACAAGGTGCACCTGTGCAATGATCATGTTGTTTAATCAGCTTCCTGATATGCCACAACTGTCAGGTGGCTTTATTATCTTGGCAAAGGATAAATGCTCATTAACAGGGATGTAAACACATTTGTGTACACAATTTGAGGGAAATAAGCTTTTTGTGTGTTTGATACATTTCTGGGAGCTTTTATTTCAGCTCATGGAACATGGGATTAACACTTTACATGTTGCGTTTATATTTTTGATCAGTATAGTACAAACCCATTAGGCCAGTAAGAAATATATCTGACGCTAGGCCTACATTTACATTTTAGTCATTTAGCAGACGCTCTTATCCAGAGCGACTTACAGTTAAGTGAGTGCATACATTATTTTTCATACTGGCCCCCCGTGGGAATCGAACCCACAACCCTGGCGTTGCAAACGCCATGCTCTACCAACTGAGCTACATCCCTGCCGGCCATTCCCTCCCCTACCCTGGACGACGCTGGGCCAATTGTGCGCCGCCCCATGGGTCTCCCGGTCGCGGCCGGCAACGACAGAGCCTGGATTCGAACCAGGATCTTTAGTGGCACAGCTAGCACTGCGATGCAGTGCCTTAGACCACTGCGCCACTCGGGAGGCCTATACATACATCATGCAAAGACACGCTGTGTCCTAAGACTCTTCTGTAGAAAGTCATTTCCTGAAGCTGCCTCTCCATAAGAAATCACACATACCTTGTTTGAGCTATTATTGCACAGTACTGGAGACTTTTCTGTCTCTTTGCCAGCTAGCCTGACCCGCTCACCTTTAAAAGCAGGGTACATGGGTGCCATGTTGCTGGTGAGTAGTGACTCTGCCTCTGTTCCATTGGCACCCAGATCTGAAACATTAACATGAATTAATCACTTAAATAAACACACACACACACACACACACACTAAACACTTCAATTCATTTAAATCATCAACTGGTCTTCAAACATTTTATGAGATCTGTCCTGATTTAGTGTTAGAATCTGCTGCACCGCTGGCTATATGCATGTACAGTAATATGGTGTAGGTTTTTAACAAAGGGTTTGGGGGGTGGTGATGGGGGTGTAACTCACTGGGTGGATGTAGCAGGCCGTAGGACAGCACAGGGTTGTCCCTGTATCTGACACAGTTCTGGCTGAAGAGCGGCGCCACACGGACGTCTGCACGGACACAGGCCTCTGCTACTGGACTCAGTGGCTGGACATTGTTCTGATAAGAGAGACGGGACGAGAGAGAGACAGAGAGGGAGACAGAGAGGGAGACAGAGAGAGAGGTTGTGTTACAGTGACTGGGCCAGTATAATGATTCCAGTTTTTTAGATTAGTTCTGTGAACCTAGTTTAATTCCTTATTGCAGGGTTGAGTCAATATATACATTAGGATAGTGTTTTTCCCCTTACCTCCTCCTTCGATAAAATAAAACCATGAATCATCTACTTTCCTTCCTCTTAATAGCTTTAGACAGAAAGTCATGGAATAAAAGGAGGATGTTGAGATAGAGTGAAAGCCAGGGATAGATAAAGGAAATATGTACTGTAGAGAGACATCCTGATTTACAGTGAGGTTTTCACCACATAATGACTAACACAAGAGGCTGTGAAAGCAGGCACGAGTTAGGAAGATCTACAGCCAGCTAGCAGGGCCTGGGCGGTAGCTCAGATATCAGCACTTCACACAGCTTTATAACCTCTTTCATGTCCTGCCAAAACACTAACTAGAGAAACCCTAACTAGAGAACTAACCAGAGAAACCCTAACTAGAGAACTAACCAGAGAAACCCTAACTAGAGAACTAACCAGAGAAACCCTAACTAACTAGAGAAACCCTAACCAGAGAAACCCTAACCAGAGAAACACTAGCTAGAGAACTAACCAGAGAAACACTAACTAGAGAAACCCTAACTAGAGAAACTAACCAGAGAAACCCTAACCAGAGAACATAACATGCAGCCAGTGCATCTCCAACACGACACACTATCTATCTTTAGTCATTAAAGAGAGCCAGAATGTAATGGTGGTTCAGAACTACGTTCGCGTGAGGGGTGACATTTCCTAAGATTCGGAAGACTTGCGTTAACTCCCCCGAGCTAATGCCTTGGCTTTAGCTCAGCAGGCTAACACATACAGTGGGGGAAAAAAGTATTTAGTCAGCCACCAATTGTGCAAGTTCTCCCACTTAAAAAGGTGAGAGAGGCCTGTAATTTTCATCATAGGTACACGTCAACTATGACAGACAAATTGAGGCAAAAAAATCCAGAAAATCACATTGTAGGATTTTTTATGAATTTATTTGCAAATTATGGTGGAAAATAAGTATTTGGTCACCTACAAACAAGCAAGATTTCTGGCTATCACAGACCTGTAACTTCTTCTTTAAGAGGCTCCTCTGTCCTCCACTCGTTACCTGTATTAATGGCACCTGTTTGAACTTGTTATCAGTATAAAAGACACCTGTCCACAACCTCAAACAGTCACACTCCAAACTCCACTATGGCCAAGACCAAAGAGCTGTCAAAGGACACCAGAAACAAAATTGTAGACCTGCACCAGGCTGGGAAGACTGAATCTGCAATAGGTAAGCAGCTTGGTTTGAAGAAATCAACTGTGGGAGCAATTATTAGGAAATGGAAGACATACAAGACCACTGATAATCTCCCTCGATCTGGGGTTCCACGCAAGATCTCACCCCGTGGGGTCAAAATGATCACAAGAACGGTGAGCAAAAATCCCAGAACCACACGGGGGGACCTAGTGAATGACCTGCAGAGAGCTGTGACCAAAGTAACAAAGCCTACCATCAGTAACACACTACGCCGCCAGGGACTCAAATCCTGCAGTGCCAGACGTGTCCCCCTGCTTAAGCCAGTACATGTCCAGGCCCGTCTGAAGTTTGTTAGAGTGCATTTGGATGATCCAGAAGAGGATTGGGAGAATGTCATATGGTCAGATGAAACCAAAATAGAACTTTTTGGTAAAAACTCAACTCGTCGTGTTTGGAGGACAAAGAATGCTGAGTTGCATCCAAAGAACACCATACCTACTGTGAAGCATGGGGGTGGAAACATCATGCTTTGGGGCAGTTTTTCTGCAAAGGGACCAGGACGACTGATCCGTGTAAAGGAAAGAATGAATGGGACAATGTATCGTGAGATTTTGAGTGAAAACCTCCTTCCATCAGCAAGGGCATTGAAGATGAAACGTGGCTGGGTCTTTCAGCATGACAATGATCCCAAACACACCGCCCGGGCAACGAAGGAGTGGCTTTGTAAGAAGCATTTCAAGGTCCTGGAGTGGCCTAGCCAGTCTCCAGATCTCAGCCCCATAGAAAAACTTTGGAGGGAGTTGAAAGTCTGTGTTGCCCAGCGACAGCCCCAAAACATCACTGCTCTAGAGGAGATCTGCATGGAGGAATGGGCCAAAATACCAGCAACAGTGTGTGAAAACCTTGTGAAGACTTACAGAAAACGTTTGACCTGTGTCATTGCCAACAAAGGGTATATAACAAAGTATTGAGAAACTTCTGTTATTGACCAAATACTTATTTTCCACCATAATTTGCAAATAAATTCATAAAAAATCTTTTTTTTTCTCAATTTTTCTGTCATAGTTGACGTGTACCTATGATGAAAATTACAGGCCTCTCTCATCTTTTTAAGTGGGAGAACTTGCACAATTGGTGGCTGACTAAATACTTTTTTCCCCCACTGTACATGGGTATGAACCCTGGTCGTTCACACAAGCACAAAAAGACTCACCAGTGGGTAAATTGTGTAGGCGACCCATAAGGGCATGAGAGTATCTTTGCTGTAACCGTTGATGTAGTCGGCGTGGTGCAGGATGCAGAAGTCTGAATTCTCCTGGAGAACTCGAGGGATTCCATATGGTAGGTGAAGAGCCTTGGCTCCGGAATCTGAGGGAGGGGAGGGTGTGATCAAAAACAAAATCAATGACAAAATAGAGCCATGATAACGCTAACTGGAGTGTTTGGCAAAGCTTCTACTACTAAGCCATTACAAAGAGACCCCATGAAGTGTGTACTCACTGGAATTGTATTGGATGAGTTGCCGGTTCATCGTTTTCTCCTGAAACATATATTTTCAGCATGTTAGTGTGTCTGTCAACTTCTGTCCCTCTAATGAGTGCTTCTGGGTTATCAATCATAAAGTGAGGATAAATATTAGATTTCAATGAAGCACCTTTCAAACATTTTGAGGATTTAGAGCGTTATTATGGACAGGACAGAGCCTCTGTCTATCTCCCCTCCCCTCCCCTCCCTCCCCTCCCAGTCCTGCTCTCTGAGGATGGATGTGCGAGTTTGAGGATCCACCCCCCCTCCCTGATTATACCCCCTGGTCATACCGCTGCTTTGGTGCGGGTGCTGCAGCTGCAGCCCAGGTTGTCAGAGGGGGTGGGGCCACTGGCCCCACAGGTGGAGTTAGAGGAGAGCTCAGCGGGGTACACAGGGCGGTGGGGAGGGTTCTTCAGGAGGTGGTTCAGACTCCCATGGGTCCCGTTGTTAGGAGCAGGGGGAACGTCCATCAAATCTGACAGGCAGAGAGGGTGATAGAGAGAAAGAGAGAGATGGGGGGGAGAGAAACAAAGTGATATTAGAGAGTTGAAAAGGTATTTTCTCTAACTGACTATCTAGTGGGCTGACTGTACAGAATAGCTGTGTGACTATGGACTTTGTTTCCAGCGGTGGTGCTGTGGCCTGGTCAACCGGCACATCCTCTTTGAAACGTATCACAATGTCGAGAAATAGAGGAATGGTCTCAGAGTTCTGTATAAAAGTGGTTGAAATGATGCTATAATGAATGTAAAGCTGGCTGGAACAGTTTCACTTTAGAGAAGTAATACTTAGCCTGGGTACCAGTCTGTTTAGATATAATTCCACTGCTTTGGCATGACAAGAGAGCAGAAACAGACTGGCAGTCAGGCTAATCCTTTCTAGTTATGCAACAGGACATTGCCCCCTGTCCCCATGTTAAATGGTCCATTGACTAACAGGCTTACCACACAGGAGGTTGTAGACTTCAATGTTTTCAAAAGGTGCAACGTGGGTCTTGTATTTCAGCCCTGGTCCATAACCGATGAAAATGGTCTGAAATATACAAAAACTAAATTAATTCACTTTCACTGGAATAACTGAATAGATAGAGGAGACTATTCATACCCGTGGAGAAGACATGTTTAATGTGTATGGAGAGAAGAACAAAATAACCACAATTTCACCATCTCATTTAGTTCTAATTTCCCTCCACCTACGGAGGAGTCAAAACCACAAATAGACCTTGTGTAAACATCAAAATAGCTAAAGGTAAACTGTATGGGAGTTTAAGTACTTAAATTACTTGAAAAGCAATCAACATTTTGAAATAATCATAAGATGAGCCTTAAAGCGGCAATCAGCAGTAGAAACAATAAAAAGGGGGTCTTCCAGCCCTTGTTTACAGTGGCTTGCGAAAGTATTCACCCCCCTTGGCATTTTTCCTATTTTGTTGCCTTACAACCTGGAATTAAAATGGATTTTTTGGGGGTTTGTATCATTTGATTTACACAACATGCCTACCACTTTGAAGATGCAAAATATTTTTTCTTGTGAAACAAACAAGAAATAAGACAAAAAAAAAACTGAAAACTTTAGCGTGCATAACTATTCACCCCCCCAAAATCAATACTTTGTAGAGCCACCTTTTGCAGCAATTACAGCTGCAAGTCTCTTGGGGTATGTCTCTATAAGCTTGGAACATCTAGCCACTGGGATTTTTGTCCATTTGTTGTGGTGCCATATTCTTTCAATTTTTTAATAATGGATTTAATGGTGCCCCCCGTGGGATGTTCAAAGCTTCGGATATTTTTTTATAACCCAACCCTGATCTGTACTTCTCCACAACTTTGTCCCTGACCTGTTTGGAGAGCTCCTTGGTCATCATGGTGCCGCTTGCTTGGTGGTGCCCCTTCCTTAGTGGTGTTGCAGACTCTGGGGCCTTTCAGAACAGGTGTATATATACCGAGATCATGTGACACTTAAATAAAGTCCACCTGTGTGCAATCTAACTAATTATGTGACTTCTGAAGGTAATTGGTTGCATCAGATCTTATTTAGGGGCTTCATAGCAAAGAGGGGTGAATACATATGCTCGCACCACTTTTGTTATTTATTTATTTAAAAAAATTTGAAACAAGTTATTTTCTTTTATTTCACTTCACCAATTTGGACTATTTTGTCTATGTCCATTACATGAAATCCAAATAAAAATCCATTTAAATTACAGATTGTAATGCAACAAAATAGGAAAAAGGGGGATGAATACTTTTGTAAGGCACTGTATATCTCTGTGTCAGAGTTGAGTCAGGTAAGTAAGTATAGGTTAGCAGCAAGCTAGCTTAGGCGTTCCAGGAAACATTTATCCACTAGGGAAACGTGTCAGTGGGCCCCATGAGAGTTTAGTGCGTTCTCACAGCAGACAGACAAGTATGTGGTCGCACACACATGCACACACACACCTACTTACACACACACACTGGGCCGGCTCCAGGCATAAGCGACATACAGTAGGGAAAAAAAGTATTTAGTCCGCCACCAATTGTGCAAGTTCTCCCACTTAAAAAGATGAGAGAGGCCTGTAATTTTCATCATAGGTACACGTCAACTATGACAGACAAATTGAGATTTTTTTTCTCCAGAAAATCACATTGTAGAATTTTTAATGAATTTATTTGCAAATTATGGTGGAAAATAAGTATTTGGTCACCTACAAACAAGCAAGATTTCTGGCTCTCACAGACCTGTAACTTCTTCTTTAAGAGGCTCCTCTGTCCTCCACTCGTTACCTGTATTAATGGCACCTGTTTGAACTTGTTATCAGTATAAAAGACACTTGTCCACAACCTCAAACAGTCACACTCCAAACTCCACTATGGCCAAGACCAACGAGCTGTCAAAGGACACCAGAAACAAAATTGTAGACCTGCACCAGGCTGGGAAGACTGAATCTGCAATAGGTAAGCAGCTTGGTTTGAAGAAATCAACTGTGGGAGCAATTATTAGGAAATGGAAGACATACAAGACCACTGATAATCTCCCTCGATCTGGGGTTCCACGCAAGATCTCACCCCGTGGGGTCAAAATGATCACAAGAACGGTGAGCAAAAATACCAGAACCACACGGGGGGACCTAGTGAATGACCTGCAGAGAGCTGGGACCAAAGTAACAAAGCCTACCATCAGTAACACACTACGCCGCCAGGGACTCAAATCCTGCAGTGCCAGACGTGTCCCCCTGCTTAAGCCAGTACATGTCCAGGCCCGTCTGAAGTTTGCTAGAGTGCATTTGGATGATCCAGAAGAGGATTGGGAGAATGTCATATGGTCAGATGAAACCAAAATAGAACTTTTTGGTAAAAACTCAACTCGTTGTGTTTGGAGGACAAAGAATGCTGAGTTGCATCCAAAGAACATGGGGGAGGAAACATCATGCTTTGGGTCTGTTTTTCTGCAAAGGGACCAGGACGACTGATCCGTGTAAAGGAAAGAATGAATGGGGCCATGTATCGTGAGATTTTGAGTGAAAACCTCCTTCCATCAGCAAGGGCATTGAAGATGAAACGTGGCTGGGTCTTTCAGCATGACAATGATCCCAAACACACCGCCCGGGCAACGAAGGAGTGGCTTCGTAAGAAGCATTTCAAGGTCCTGGAGTGGCCTAGCCAGTCTCCAGATCTCAACCCCATAGAAAATCTTTGGAGGGAAGTTGAAAGTCTGTGTTGCCCAGCGACAGCCCCAAAACATCACTGCTCTAGAGGAGATCTGCATGGAGGAATGGGCCAAAATACCAGCAACAGTGTGTGAAAACCTTGTGAAGACTTACAGAAAACGTTTGACCTGTGTCATTGCCAACAAAGGGTATATAACAAAGTATTGAGAAACTTTTGTTATTGACCAAATACTTATTTTCCACCATAATTTGCAAATAAATTCATAAAAAATCCTACAATGTGATTTTCTGGAGAAAAAAAATTCTAATTTTGTCTGTCATAGTTGACGTGTACCTATGATGAAAATTACAGGCCTCTCTCATCTTTTTAAGTGGGAGAACTTGCACAATTGGTGGCTGACTAAATACTTTTTTTCCCCCACTGTAAGTGGTCGCTTAGGGCCCCCGGCTGCTGTGAGAACGAACTAAACTCTCATGGGGCCCACTTTATTTTTTTTGGAACTCAGTCAGGGTCTCAACTTATTATTGAGAGTTAGAATAGTAAAATACAATTTCATGCAATTTCAAAATTTGGTTGTGCATCAGCAGTTTTTCTCTTGTTATGTCAGTCACTCAATTAGCTGACAATTAGCCATGTACATTTTTTGATTGGTAGTTGGTCTGGTCAGCTATCTAAAGTTGTGTTAATCATGGCCGAATACCAGCCAGGCATGCAGCGCATGTGCCCAGGGGCCCAACCCAACCCTGATCTGTACTTCTCCACAACTTTGTCCCTGACCTGTTTGGAGAGCTCCTTGGTCTTCATGGTGCCGCTTGCTTGGTTGTGCCCTTAGTTAACGGTGTTGCAGACTCTGGTACCTTTCAGTCAGGTGTATATATACTGAGATCATGTGACAGACCATGTGACACTTAGATTGCATACAGGTGGACTTTACTTAACTAATTATGTGACTTCTGAAGGTAATTGGTTGCACCAGATCTTATTTAGGAGCTTCATAGCAAAGTGGGTGAATACATATGCACGCGCCACTTTTCCGTTATTTATTTTGTATACAAGTTATTTTTTCATTTCACTTCGCCAATTTCGACTATTTTGTGGATGTCCATTACATGAAATCCAAATAAAAATCCATTTAAATTACAGGTTGTAATTCAACAAAATAGGACAAACGCCAAGGGGGATGAATACTTTTGCAAGGCACTGTAAGTAAAAAGCTGAGAGATGGGGCTGAAGAAATGTACACCTCTCAAATTTAGAGCTATGGATGCAAGGTCTAACCATCCATGATATCAAAAAAATTGTTTTAACCATGTTGAGGCTATATAGTGTTTGGTTACATTTACTTTGTTTACAAACATTGAAGTAAAACAAACGTATATTTTGGGTTCTTATGAGGTATGACAGTTAATGAGGCATTCATAACGTGTATTCTTCAAGAGTCAATGGGCACATATCATATCAAGTCCAAAAATGTATGTAGTAACTGCTGATTGCCCCTTTAAAACGTGGGTGCCTACTACATTAAATAGGTGATGTCGTTACTTGCTAGCTACGTCTGCTTTTCTTCCAGTCTGCAGCAAGACACACAGAATATATTTTCAGCAGACTTTCCTTTGACTCATGCACCTGTTTTTTTTTTAGGGAAGTGAGTAAAGTCGCAAAGATGATTATATCAACAACACATTCCAGGTGTGACCACGTCTAGAAAGATACACAGACCTATCATAAACATAAAGACTAACAGGGAGATGCCAAGGAGAAATCTAGTAAACTATAGTAAACATAGCCATGATAGAACACAACACAAATGGAAACAAAGCATACTGTTATAGGTGATGGTATTTCAGCAGGCTTATTTTGGGAGAGATTTTCTCAGGCCGGAAACATAGACAGACCGATCATAAAGACTAACACGGAGATGGGGAGAAATCTAGTAAAATCTAGTAAAAATAGTAAAAATGTCCATGGGAAAACAACACAACTCCGAATGGGAGGACATTGTACTGTTATAGGTGATGGTATTCCAGTGTTTTTTCTGGGGGGAGAGACTTGCTAAGGCTCAGTCTGGGGGCAGCCAGACTAGACGGTCTGATATCTTCATAAAGCTCCTATGTTCTCTTGGAGTACATAACTTGATTTAACCTAAAGAATGTCAGGCATGATTTAACAAACTGGGGCTCCTCTGCAGTGGTCAGCTCCCAGATCTGTTTGGGTCATTTGGCCTGACAATGGCCATACAGATGTAGGATCTTAATTTTAGCCAGTTTGCTACAGCAGGAAAATAATCCTGCAGCAACAGGAAATGTGCATTATAATTAATTGACTTTTTTGTAGGGGTCGATACATTTTTCGACAAATCAAGTCTGAAATTTCAAAGTGAAAATTACAAACTTTAGAAGCCATTTAAAAAACTAAAATACACTACACGTTTGCATATCCTGCTTTGCAGGAAAATTCTCAGCAACAAAATATCCTACATCTGAGATGGCAAGACGGCACAATCAGATCTGGGACTCAGGCTACCTCTCTGTAGTGCTTCCATCATAGAACTTAATCACGTCCAAATATAAAACTAGTGAGTTGTGCTGTGTAGCTAAACTCCATGTGATTCAAGTGTAATCTAGCTATTAGCATTAGGTGTTCTTTAGTTTGAGACAGTATGTTAGGATGGGCTTCCCTGGGTGTGTACATAACCAAGTGTCCATACTGTAATGTCACACAGAGTATCAGCTGATGTACAGCATCATCCCTCTCACCCTTCCCTGACCTGCATGTTTTTGAAGACGTTATCCGAGCCGTGGAATCCACCAGTGCAGTACTTGACTTCGTTAGGTTGTCTGTGGACGAACAGAGATGAAAAAACATTATTCCATTCCTAGAAAGGACATCACACCTCCACACTCCACACACACTCAAATTGAGGGGTTATCAATTGGACAGCTGTACAAACCAACCCAACTAAATGAGCGCTCACATTCTCAGCTGTGGCAACCATATCAACAAGAAACAGCTTTCAGCACCCATTTCAGACATCCGTAAAAAATGCCCAAACATGGGCAAAACAAAATGTCTGTTGGTACACTGCCAGTCCAAAGTTTGGACACACCTACTCATTCAAGGGTTTTTCTTTATTTTTACTATTTTCTACATTGTAGAATAATAGTGAAGACATCAAAACTATGAAATAACACATGGAATCATGTAGTAACCAAAAAAGTGTTAAACATATTCAAATAGCCACCCTTTGCCTTGATGACAGCTTTGCACACTCTTGGCATTCTCTCAACCAGCTTCATGAGGTAGTCACCTGGAATGCATTTCAATTAACAGGTGTGCCTTCTTAAAAGTTAATTTGTGGAGTTTCTTTCCTTCTTAATGCATTTGAGCCAATCAGTTGTGTAGTGACAAGGTAGGGGGGTATACAGAAGATAGCCCTATTTGGTAAAAGACAAAGTCCATATTATGGCAAGAACTGCTCAAATAAGCAAAGAGAAACGACAGTCCAGCATTACTTTAAGACATGAAGGTCAGTCAATACGGAACATTTCAAGAACTTTGAAAGTTTCTTCAAGTGCAGTCGCAAAAACCATCAAGCGCTATGATGAAACTGGCTCTCATGAAGATGGCCACAGGAATGGAAGACTCAGTTACCTCTGCTGCAGAGGATAAGTTAATTGGAGTTACCAGCCTCAGAAATTGCAGCCCAAATAAATGCTTCACAGAGTTCAAGTAACAGACACATCTCAACATCAACTGTTTAGAGGGGACTGTGTGAATCAGGCCTTCATGGTCAAATTGCTGCAAAGAAACCACTACTAAAGAATACCAATAAGAAGAAGAGACCTGCTTGGGCCAAGAAACACGAACAATGGACATTAGACCGGTGGAAATGTGTCCTTTGGTCTGGAGTCCAAATTTGAGATTTTTGGTTACAACCGCCGTGTCTTTGTGAGACGCGGTGTGGGTGAATGGATGATCTCCGCATGTGTATTTCCCACCGTAAAGCATGGAGGAGGTGGTGTTATGGTGTGGGGGTGCTTTGCTGGTGACACTGTCTGTGATTTATTTAGAATTCAAGGCATACTTAACCAGCATGGCTACCACAGCATTCTGCAGCGATACGCCATCACATCTGGTTTGGGCTTAGTGGGACTATAATTAGTTTTTCAACAGGACAATGACCTAACACACCTTCAGGCTGTGTAAGGGCTATTTGACCAAGAAGGAGAGTGATGGAGTGCTGCAACAAATGACCTGGCCTCCACAATTCCCTGACCTCAACCCAATTGAGATGGTTTGGGATGAGTCGGACCGCAGATTGAAGGAAAAGCAGCCAACAAGTGCTCAGCATATGTGGGAACTCCTTCAAGACCGTTGGAAAAGCATTCCAGGTGAAGATGGTTGAGAGAATTCCAAGAGTGTCAAAGCTGTCATCAAGGCAAAGGGTGGCTATTTGAAGAATCTCAAATATAAAATATATTTTGATTTGTTTAACACTTTTTTGGTTACTACATGGTTCCATATGTGTTATTTCATAGATTTGATGTCTTCACTATTATTCTACAATGTAGAAAATAGTAAAAATAAAGAAAAACCCTGGAATGAGTAGTTGTGTCCAAACTTTTGACTGGTACTGTATGTTAATAGGCTTTCTGTTAAGCTGAGACCAGCTGTCACTTTTCACGTGTGGCAGCTGTTGAGAATTTCATGGGTCAAGTTAGGGCTAGTGAGATTCTTTAGAAGTCGTCTTGTCGAATAATGGCTCATAGCAACAGACAGTTAAACATAACAAGATTTAAACATTTACATTTTAGTCATTTAGCAGACGCTCTTATCCAGAGCGACCCACAGTAGTGAGTGCATCATTTTTTTTACTTTTTCGTATAAATATCAAGTGGGATGACCTTTTGCAAGTACCTGTAACTGCTTTCAAAGTACATGTAGGGAGATGCATATAGGGACTAGTGCATGTAGGCACAACATTTAAAGTGAATGTCAACGGACACTGTGTAGTTCTAACTGGTGCTGATTTACTTCCTGGAACTCATGACTTGAAAAAGCAGTGAACCGTGATGAGTAGGCTAACTTAAGTAACTTATAAATATTTAAAAGAGTACTTATTTAATTATGTTATTCCACAACAGATACTTTGGCTTAATGCCAGAGTAAAGCTAAGAGTGCAGCTTAGGTTGTGTGATAACCCTAAATGTCATTTTTAAGAAACGCAACACTTTGTTTTATGGTTCATACTGTATACGGTTCCTATAGATGTCGTACCTTAATTTGATCTGTTGTCACAGAGAATGAGCCTTGTGATTTACATACATTCACTGAAATTATATTTCGCTCACTAGATCTAACGCCTAAACTATAGCCTATCAAAACTTTTTTGAGAATAATCAAATCCTTCTGCTGCAGGATTATTTTACTCCTGAGACTAAACTGTTCAAATTAAGATCCCACATCTGTATGAATAAAGACATCATAAAAACACATATGTCAGGGTGGGGGTATTTGGGGGAATCAGGCACTTCAAACAAAGCAAACAAGAGAGATGTGTTATGACATACAGAGCTGCCTGCCAGCCAGGCTTCATGTAGAGATGGGCCTTCTCGATGCGCACGTTGTTAGCAAAGTGCATCCGTTTGGGGAGGTGCTCTTTGAGGTAGGGCCTCATGGGCTGGTCAGGGCTCCTGCACTTCAAAACACACAGCAAGAGAAGAGCAGAGAGTCAATGAAGGGACAGAGGGAGAGGCCTGTTTGACATGAGCTAAGGCAAGCAGATAATTTTAAATTCATCTTATGAACACAGAAGTCAACGGGGCACATATTCTTCACATACCGACAGATTCTTCACCAGGCCTTCATAGTCGACTGGGGGAATAAAAACAGACATGGTTGGTAACTCAAGGGTCATGACCTTCCCCTTCCCCTTCCCAAATCACTCTTGACCCCTTCCCTTGGCCCCAACCTCTTTACCCCTTCCCTTGGCCCCAACCTCTTTACCCCTTCCCTTGGCCCCAACCTCTTGACCCCTTCCCTTGGCCCCTACCTCTTGACCCCTTCCCCTTGGCCCAACCTCTTTACCCCTTCCCTGGACCCCAACCTCTTGACCCCTTCCCTTGGCCCCTACCTCTTGACCCCTTCCCTTGGCCCCAACCTCTTTACCCCTTCCCTTGGCCCCAACCTCTTTACCCCTTCCCTGGACCCTAACCTCTTGACCCCTTCCCTTGGCCCCTACCTCTTGACCCCTTCCCCTTGGCCCAACCTCTTTACCCCTTCCCCTTCCCCTTGGCCCCAACCTCTTTACCCCTTCCCTGGACCCTAACCTCTTGACCCCTTCCCTGGACCCCAACCTCTTGACCCCTTCCCTTGGCCCCAACCTCTTGACCCCTTCCCTTGGCCCCAACCGCTTTCAAATAAAATCAAATACAATTGTATTTGTCACATGCGCCGAATACAACAGGTGTAGACCTTACAGTGAAATGCTTAATTACAAGCCCTTAACCAACAACACCGTTTTAAGAAAAATAAGTGTTAAGAAAGTATTTACTAAATAAACAGAAGTAAAAAATAAAACATAAATAAAGAGCAAGAATAAAATAACAGTAACGAGGCTATATATGGGTGGTCCTCTGTGGTCCTCTGTAGCTCAGCTGGTAGAGCACGGCGCTTGTAACGCCAAGGTAGTGGGTTCGATCCCCGGGACCACCCATACACAAAAAAAAAATTTATGCACGCATGACTGTAAGTCGCTTTGGATAAAAGCGTCTGCTAAATGGCATATTATTATTATTATTATTATTATTATTATTATTATATACAGGGAGTACCGGTACAGAGTCAATGTGCTGGGGCACAGGTTAGTAGAGGTAATTGAGGTAATATGTACATGTGGGTAGAGGTAAATTGACTATGCATAGATAATAAACAGAGAGTAGCAGCAGCGTAACAATTAGGGGGAGGTCAATGCAAATAGTCAGTTTAGCCATTTGGTTAGCTGTTCAGGAGTCTTATGGCTTGGGGGTAGAAGCTGTTAAAAAGCCTTTTGGACCTAGACTTGGCGCTCCGGTACCGCTGAGAGAACAGTCTATGACTAGGGTGGCTGGAGTCTTTGGCAATTTTTAGGGCCTTCCTCTGACACCGCCTGGTATAGAGGTCCTAGATGGCAGGAAGCTTGGCCCCAGTGATGTACTGGGCCGTACATACTACCCTCTGTAGTGCCTTGCGGTCGGAGGCCGAGCAGTTGCCATACCAGGCGGTGATGCAACCAGTCAGGATGCTCTCGATGGTGCAGCTGTATAACTTTTTGAGGATCTGAGGACCCATGCAAAATCGTTTCAGTCTCCTGAGGGGGAATAGGCATTGTTGTGCCCTCTTCAAGACTGTCTTGGTGTGTTTGGATCATGACAGTTCGCCAGTGATGTGGACACCAAGGAACTTGACGCTTTCAACCTGCTCCACTACAGTCCCGTTGATGAGAATGGGGGCGTGCTCGGCCCTCCTTTTCCTGTAGTCCACAAACATCTCCTTTGTCTTGATCATGTTAAGGGAAGAGGTTGCAGGAGGGAACTGTCAATGGGCAGCTCGCGGCTGTGCTTCCCTTTGTAGTCCATAATAGTTTGCAAGTCCTCCCACTTCCGACGAGCGTCGGAGCCGGTGTAGTGGGATAAAATCTTAGTCCTGTATTGACGCTTTGCCTGTTTGTTGGTTCGTCTGAGGGCATAGTGGGATTTCTTATAAACATCCGGGTTAGAATCCCGCTCCTTGAAAGCGGCAGCTCTAACCTTTAGCTCAGTGCGGATGTTGCCTGTAATCCATGGCTTCTGGTTGGGGTATGTACGCACGGTCACTTTGGGGACGACATCATTGATGCACTTATTGATGAAGCCAGTGACTGATGTGGTGTACTCCTCAATGCCATCGGAAGAATCCCGGAACATATTCCAGTCTGTGCTAGCAAAACAGCATCTGCGTCATCTGACCACTTCTGTATTGAGCGAGTCACTGGTACTTCCTGCTTTAGTTTTTGCTTGTAAGCAGGAATTAGGAGGATAGAGTTACGGTCAGATTTGCCAAATGGAGGGCTTTGTACGCGTCTCTGTGTGTGGAATAAAGGTGGTCTAGAGTTTTTTTTCCTCTGGTTGCACATTTAACATGCTGGTAGAAATTAGGTAAAACGGATGTAAGTTTCCCTGCATTAAAGTCCCCGGCCACTAGGAGCGCCGCTTCTGGATGAGCATTTTTTTGTTTGCTTATGGCCTTATACAGCTCGTTGAGTGCAGTCTTAGTGCCAGCATCGGTTTGTGGTAAATGGACAGCTACGAAAAACATAGATGAAAACTCTCTTCATAAATAGTTAGTCTACAGCTTATCATGAGACTACCTACTACTCTACCTCAGGCAAGCAAAACCTTGAGACTTCCTTAATATTAGATTTCGTGCACCAGCTGTTATTGACAAATACACACAGACCTCCACCCCTTGTCTTACCGGAGGCTGCTGTTCTATCTTGCCGATGCAAGGAAAACCCAGCCAGCTGTATGTTATTCATGTCGTCGTTCAGCCACGACTCAGTGAAACATAAGATATTACAGTTTTTTATGTCCCGTTGGTAGGATAGTGTTGATCGGAGCTCATCAGTTTATTATCCAATGATTGTATGTTGGTTAATAGGACTGATGGCAGAGGCGGGTTACCCACTCGCCGTCAGATTCTTACAAGGCACCCCGACCTACGTCCCCTTATCTCCGTCTCTTCTTCATGCGAATGACTGGGATTTGGGCCTTGTCGGGTGTCTGAAGTAAATCTTTCGCGTCCGACTCGTTAAAGAAAGAATCTTCGTCCAGTACGAGGTGAGTAATCGCTGTTCTGATATCCAGAAGCTCTTTTCGGTCATAAGAGTCGGTGGCAGAAACATTATGTACAAAATTAGTTACAAATAACGCGAAAAAACACACACAATAGCACAATTGGTTAGGAGCCCGTAAAACGGCAGCCATCACCTCTGGCACCCCTTCCCATTGGCCCCAACCGCCTTATCCCTTCCCCTTGGCCCAACCGCTTGACCCCTTCCCCTTGGCCCCAACCTCTTTACCCCTTCCCCTTGGCCCCAACCGCTTTACCCCTTCCCCTTGGCCCAACCGTCTTTAACCCCTTCCCCTTGGCCCCAACCTCTTTACCACCTTCCCCTTGCCCCAACCTGCTTATATACCCCTTCCCCTTGGCCCCAACCTCTTTATTTACCCCCTCAATTCCCCTTGGTCCCAACCCTTTAAACAACCCTTCCCCTTGGCCCCAACCGCTTCAACCAAACCCTTCCCCTTGGCCCACCTCTTTACCCCTTCCCTGGCTCCAACCCTTCCCCACCCCTTCCCCCTCTTTTTCCAACCCAAATTACCCCTTCCCCTTGGCCCCACCTCTTTAACCCCTTCCCCTTGGTCCCAACCCGCTTTTAACCCTTCCCCTTGGCCCAACCGCTTTCAACCCCTTCCCCTTGGGCCCAACCTCTTTACCCCCCTTCCCCTTCACCCCAACCGCTTTAAAACCCTCTTCCCCTTGGCCCCAACCCGCTTTAACCCCTTCCCCTTGGCCCAACCTCTTTTAACCCCTTCCCTTGGCCCACCGCTTGGCCCAACCGCTTTACCCCTTCCCTTAGGCCCAACTCTAATCTTCTCATACGACTGATATCGCTGTTCTGATATCCAAGCTATTTTCGTCATAGGTCGGTGGCGAACCTTTTGTCAAATTAGTTACAATACGCAAAAAACACACAATAGCCACAATGTTGGCCCGTTAAAACGGCAGCCATCACCTCTAGGCCCACCCTTCCCCTTGGCCCCAACCACTTTACCCCTTCCCCTTGGCCCCAACCGCTTTAACCCCCTTCCCCTTGGCCCAACCCTTTTACCCCTTCCCTTGCCCAACCGCTTTAACCCCTTCCCTTGGCCCAACCCTTTACCCCCTTCCCCTTGGCCCAACCTCTTTACCACCCTTCCCTTGGCCCAACCTCTTTACCCTTCCCTTGGCCCCAACCGCTTACCCCCTTCCCCGTGGCCCCAACCGCTTTAAACCCCTTCCCTTGGCCCCAACCGCTTTACCCCTTCCCCTTGGCCCAACCCGCTTTAAACCCCTTCCCCTTGGCCCCAACCCTTACCACCCCTTCCCCTTGGCCCCAACCGCTTTAAATACCCCCTTCCCCCTTTTCCCTCACCCCCAACCTCTTTCTTCCCCTTCCCCTCCTTCCCCTTGGCCCCAACCTCTTGACCCCTTCCCCTTGGCCCCAACCCCTTTTCACCTTCCCCTTGGCCCCAACCGCTTTAAAAAAATTAACCAATTACCCCTTCCCCTTGGCCCAACCGCTTTACCCCTTCCCCTTGGCCCAACCCGCTTTCTACCCCTTCCCCTTGGCCCAACCTCTTTACCCCTTCCCCTTGGCCCCAACCTTTTTAAACCCCTTCCCCTTGGCCCCAACCGCTTTACCCCTTCCCCTTGGCCCAACCTCTTTACCCCTTCCCTTGGCCCAACCGCTTTACCCCTTCCCTTGGCCCAACCTCTTTAACCATTTCCCCCCTTTCCCCTTTCCCCCTTGGCCCCAACCTCTTTACCCCTTCCCTTGGCCCAACCTCTTTACCCACCCCCTTCCCCCCTTCCCCTTGGCCCCAACCTCTTTAAAACCCCTTCCCCTTGGCCCCAACCTCTTTAACCCCTTCCCTTGGCCCCAACCTCTTTCCCCTTCCATTGGCCCCAACCTCTTGACCCCTTCCCCTTGCCCCAACCACTTTTAACCGCACCCCTTCCCCTTGGCCCAACCTCTTTACCCCTTCCCCCTTGGCCCAACCCCTCTTTAACCCCTTCCCCTTGGCCCCAACCGCTTTAAACCCTTCCCTTTGGCCCCAACCTCTTTACCAACCTTCCCTTCCCTTGGCCCAACCTCTTTACCCCTTCCCCTTGGCCCCAACCACTTTACCCTACCAAAACCCTTCCCCTTGGCCCCAACCTCTTACCCCTTCCCCTGGCCCCAACCTCTTTAACCCCTCCCCTTGGCCCAACCTCTTTACCCCCTTCCCTTGGCCCCAACCGCTTTAACCCCTTCCCCTTGGCCCCAACCGCTTTTAATTAACCTTCCCCTTGGCCCCCAAACCGCTTTAACCCCTTCCCTTGGCCCCAACCGTTTTAAACCCCCCCTTCAACCCCTTCCCCTTTCCCCCTTGGCCCCAACCGTTTTTAACCCCTTCCCCTTGGCCCCAACCCGCTTTTTCCCAACCCCCTTCCCTTGGCCCCAACCTCTTTACCATTTTCCCCCTTGGCCCAACCTCTTTAACCCCTTCCCCTTGGCCCCAACCGCTTTAAAACCTCTTCCCCTTGGCCCCAACCACTTTACCCCACTTTCCCCCTTGGCCCAACCGCTTTACCCTCTTCCCCTTGGCCCCAACCGCTTTATACAAACCCAATTACCCTTTCCCCCTTTGGGGCCCCAACCTCTTTAACTCCCTTCCCCTTTGGGCCCCCAACCGCTTTAAAACCCCTTCCCCTTTGGCCCCCAACCGCTTTACCCCTTCCCCTTGGCCCCAACCGCTTTATCCCTTCCCCTTGGCCCCAACCGCTTTACCTCTTCCCCTTGGCCCCAACCGCTTTAAACCACTTCCCCCTTGGCCCCAACCGCTTTAAAACCCCTTCCCTTGGCCCCAACCGCTTTACCCCTTCCCCTTGGCCCCAACCGCTTTACCTCTTCCCCTTGGCCCCAACCGCTTTACCCCTTCCCCTTCCCCTTGGCCCCAACCGCTTCAACCCCCTTTCCCCCTTTTCGCCCCAACCGCCACGTTTTAAAACCCCCCTTCAACCCCTTCCCCCCTTGGCCCCCAACCGCTTTAACCTTTTCCCCCTTGGCCCCAACCGCTTTAACCCCCCTTCCCCTTGGCCCCAACCGCTTTCCCCTTCCCCTTGGCCCCCAACCGTTTTACCTCTTCCCCTTGGCCCCAACCGCTTTAACCAACTTCCCCTTGGCCCCAACCGCTTTAACCTCTTCCCATTGGCCCCAACCGCTTTAAAAAAACCCTTCCCCTTGGGCCCCCAACCTTTTTACCCCCTTCCCCTTGGCCCCAACCGCTTTACCCCTTCCCCTTAGCCCAACCTCTTTAACCCCTTCCCCTTGGCCCCAACCGCTTTAACCATAACATACCCCCTTTCCCCTTGGCCCCCAACCGCTTTAAACCTCTTCCCCTTGCCCCAACCTCTTTAACCCCTTCCCGTGGCCCCAACCGCTTTACCCCCTTCCCCTTGGCCCCAACCCTTTACCTCTTAACTTTACCCCTTCCCTTTGGCCCAACCCTTTTTACCCCTTCCCCCCTTGGCCCCAACCTCTTTACCAACCCAAAACCCCTTCCCCTTGGCCCCAACCGCTTTAAACCCCCTTCCCCTTGGCCACAACCGCTTTAAAACCCTTCCCCTCCCTTCCCCTTGGCCCCAACCGCTTTTACCCAAACCTTCCCCTTCCCCTTGGCCCCAACCGCTTTACCCCTTCCCTTGGCCCCAACCTCTTGACCCCTTCCCCTTGGCCCCAACCTCTTTACCCCTTCCCCTTGGCCCCAACCTCTTTACCTCTTCCCTTGGCCCCAACCTCTTTACCTCTTCCCCTTGGCCCCAACCGCTTTACCCCTTCCCCTGGGGGCCAAAACCCCCAACCCTTCGGTTGCCAGCTCACTTCCCAACAGATGTTTTTCGTTGGACCCGGGATTCGAACTGGCTGGCTTGTCTCTCTAACCGCTAGGCTACCTGCTGCCCCAGTGTAGTGGTGAAGCTTCTACCTTAATTATTGCTTACACCTTACTAATCTGCCATAATCAAAGGGGAAGGGCCAATGGGAAGGGAGTGAATTAGGAGCTGCTGTAACACTGGATGGTATTGCGTAAGGCCAGGAAGAGGGAGGAAGACAGCTGGAAGTGACATGTTGTCATCATCAACAGTTACTCACAGGAGAAGAAGTCTTCCGGGAGGTTCTTGGGTCGGATTCGCGCGGCAGGGCCTTGGATGACAGTGAAGTCGTCAATGTTGTCCTGGTACAAGCTTACGAATGCAGCCTTTTTGCAGGAAGCTTCCTCCATTCCTGCAATTACAATAAACACACGGTCACCATTTAAAAAACAATCGCCATTGTTTGTATTGTTGTTCCTGGCAACTGGGCAGTCAGAGCAATAGGAGAAGCATGAGGAGAGAAATGGAGAATGAGAAAGGACAGTATAGGACTTCAAACAGCACCATAATTAGGCGGTCTAATCTGTACCAGATTTCAGACAGAAAAAATGACTTTTTTAACTGAACAAACTGTTAATTTGAAATTATAAACAGATGATTGTTACTAGGATTATATCCTCCATTTCCCAATCAATCATTCTTAACGGCAAATGTGAAATCAACCACAACCAGTCTTTTCCTGACTAAAAATAACCCAAAGAGCAATGCAATATTTGGTAAAAGCTAAATAAAAAGGACTCCCATATGATATTTGTTATATTAAAAACCTGACATCAAAATTACAACTCTGCGACGTGGACCTTATTACAAGGCCAGTTGAGCAGCCATCGGTCGGTGCCGCCACATTAATTAAATTTAGCTAATCCTTCACACACATAATGCCATAATTACAAGACATGTCAAATGCTATGCAGATGTTGCGAGCATCTCTTCTTCACAGACCTCCCTCTGTAAACCTCCCTGGCTGCCTCATGCTGGTTTTTGCTAAATAATTCACAGCTGTTTCAGCATTCACTCTGACCTTGTTTTACAAATCGTTTTCACCCTGGCATGTGATTCCCCTGCAACAGGTTCTAGTGGTGCATCCCAAATGGCACCCTATTCCCTATATAGTGCACTACTTTTGACCAGCCTTATGGGCCCTGGTCAAAAGTAGTGTACTAAATAGGGAATAGGGTGCCATTTAGGATGCTACCAAGGTCTCAGCCATACCAAACTGTATGTGTGGCTGACAGTAAGCATCCAAACACCCACACAATAGAGGACCCCAGAGTACAGGCCAGAGGCTGGAAGACAATGCCACATCGTAAAGTTACTCAACAGAGGAACTATAGCATAAAAAAAAACACACAAAAAAACAGAAAATAAAAGTGTTGTGGTAATATACATTATGGCTACACTGTTAATTGTTATGTTTTCTTTCTGAAGTGCTACTTGTACAATAAAATCTGTAAACAACTACTTAATGAGTGAATTTGATAGCAGATTTCTGTGTTATAAGGCAGGAGCAATGCAGCCATTATACAATAGCTAAGGGACGTTAGCCATCATTTTGCTGCCAGATACTGTCTCTCGATATGATACTTAGTGATGTCGGAAAATCAGCTACTTCATATTTCTTTATTTTCTTCCCTTTTCCCCCCTAGACCAACTCCTCTTTCATGTTCAGTAGTAGTGGATGCTCACTATTGCATCACCTTATGATTTCCAGCAGAGCCATAAAATAAAGTAAACAACTTTCATTTGCCAAAAAACACTAAATGGCTCAATGCATCCACATTTATTTTATTAGTGCTTATCTCTGAGAAACAGTGTTTCTCCTGTACTGTACATTTCCTTCTTGAGGCTCTATGCTCCAGTAGGAGCTAAAACAATAAGTCAAGTCACGTTCCAATCTACTGTTTCATCTGAATGCTGTAGCTCAGTTGGTAGAGCATGGCGCTTGCAACGCCAGGGTTGTGGGTTCGTTTCCCACGGGGGGCCAGTATTAAAAAATATATATATATATATATATGTATGCACTCACTAACTGTAAGTTGCTCTGGATAAGAGCGTCTGCTAAATGACTAAAATGTAAATGTAGAAAACATGGCTGCTGATTGTTGATCGCAGGCTGTGTGTTGTGGCAACATGCTGCTCACCGTGGTCAGACAGAAGCACCAGGTTGACACAGCGGTGAAGGTTCTTCTGTTTCAGGCCGTCCATTAGAAGTCCTAACAACCTGTCCACGTTCAGCAGGGCCTCAATCACCTGCAAATACAGTACATTGTCATTCATAACACCACATGTTATAAACTCAGAAAAAAAAGAAACGTCCTCTCACTGTCAACTGCGTTTATTTTCAGCAAACTTAACATGTGTAAATATTTGTATGAACATAAGATTCAACAACTGAGACATAAACTGAACAAGTTCCACAGACATGTGACTAACATAAATTGAATAATGTGTCCCTGAACAAAGGGGGGGTCAAAATCAAAAGTAACAGTCAGTATCTGGTGTGGCCACCAGCTGCATTAAGTACTGCAGTGCATCCCCTCCTCATGGACTGCACCAGATTTGCCAGTTCTTGCTGTGAGATGTTACCCCACTCTTCCACCAAGGCACCTGCAAGTTCCCAGACATTTCTGGGGGGAATGGCCCTAGCCCTCACCCTCCGATCCAATGGGATTGAGATCCGGGATCTTCGCTGGCCATGGCAGAACACTGACATTCCTGTCTTGCAGGAAATCACACACAGAACGAGCAGTATGGCTGGTGGCATTGTCATGCTGGAGGGTCATGTCAGGATGAGCCTGCAGGAAGGGTACCACATGAGGGAGGAGGATGTCTTCCCTGTAACGCACAGCGTTGGGATTGCCTGCAATGACAACAAGCTCAGTCCGATGATGCTGTGACACACCGCCCCAGACCATGACGGACCCTCCACCTCCAAATCAATCCCGCTCCAGAGTACAGGCCTCGGTGTAACGCTCATTCCTTCGACGATAAACGCGAATCCGACCATCACCCCTGGTGAGACAAAACCGCGACTCGTCAGTGAAGAGCGACGGTGGGTTTGTGCCCATAGGCGACATTGTTGCCGGTGATGTCTGGTGAGGACCTGCCTTACAACAGGCCTACAAGCCCTCAGTCCAGCCTCTCTCAGCCTATTGTAGACAGTCTGAGCACTGATGGAGGGATTGTGTGTTCCTGGTGTAACTCGGGCAGTTGTTGTTGCCATCCTGTACCTGTCCCGCAGGTGTGATGTTTGGATGTACCGATCCTGTGCAGGTGTTGTTACACATGGTCTGCCACTGCGAGGATGATCAGCTGTCCGTCCTGTCTCCCTGTAGCACTGTCTTAGGCGTCTCATAGTACGGACATTGCAATTTATTGCCCTGGCCACATCTGCAGTCCTCATGCCTCCTTGCAGCATGCCTAAGGCACATTCATGCAGATGAGCAGGGACCCTTGGCATCTTTCTTTTGGTGTTTTTCAGAGTCAGTAGAAAGGCCTATTTAGTGTCCTAAGTTTTCATAACTGTGACCTTAATTGCCTACCGTCTGTAAGCTGTTAGTGTCTTAACGACCATTTCACAGGTGCTTGTTCATTAATTGTTCATAGTTCATTGAACAAGCATGGGAAACAGTGTTTAAACCCTTTACAATGAAGATCTGTGAAGTTATTTGGATTTTTACAAATTATATTTGAAAGACAGGGTCCTGAAAAAGGGACGTTTATTTTTTTGCTGAGTTTACAAGGCCCAGGAGTTCTGCCTGACTACTTTGTGGCCTTTGCTGGGCCTGCTTTGATTGGTTATAAATTACCCCCCACTTGATTGGTGGGTTGAATGAATAGAGATGGATCTGACCTGGCTGCTCATTGGTCCGTATCGGTGGCCGGCAGAGTCTGGTTCTTCCACGTAGAGAGTGTAAAAATCTGGCCTATATAAAAACAAAACGAAATGACACCGATTACATAGTGAGGTCCTATCAAATGAAAGGTACGTAAGTGTTTGGTCTGTCCTTCAAAATGATGCTCATTTAATGGTTATAAGAAGCATATTACCATACCTTTCCCCTTTAGGCAAATTCAGCCATTGAAATATGGTTGAGATTCTCTCCTCAAATGGGATGTTCCTAAGACAAAGATCCTGCTTTATTTCTTACTTTAGAATGCATCACTATGGATAGCTTAAAACACACTGCTGGTCACCTCCAAATAACACATTCATACTTTATATCCTAGAAAACAAATAGATGTGGTATTCACAATAGGATAATTACCTACTCCTCTTTACTGTGACCATAAACAAACACGGATAAGAAAGATCATTACGCAAGTCTCTCACCTGTCATACTTCTTATAGAAGTCAGGTAATCTTCCATTGACTGCCACATCAGAGCCCGGCCAGAAGAATGTGGCTGACTTCAGGTTATTGTCCATGGCAGTGAGCCAAACCTAGAGAGAGACAGACAGGAGAGGTGCACTGATAGTCAAAACAGACCACTAAAAAGAGCTAGCCTAATAGCGCATTCATTCTGGTACATCAGAATAAGCAGTGCTTTATCATTACATCTAAAGACTTCCCCAATAAACTCATCAGAATTGACCTATAGTAGTGATCCTCGCTATATGAGCCACGATATAATTCCCTCCCAGTGGGTTAACCCTATTGGCGCGATGCGTAGGCTGTTTGCAGTTCAGGCCAGCAACCTGGGTTTGCTTCCCGCTCACTACAATATGTTCATTACATATTGTATTATGTTCATTACAGAGCAAGCAGTACTATCCATTACAGCTAAACTTTTGTCCTAACAAATGATATATGTTCATCAATAACACTATTTAAGGATTAGAGGTCTCATCTTCCTGACTTTCTCCACACATGATGTGGAAAGACATAAGTACATTTGGATTTATTTGGTTGTATTATTATTATGGACTGTGATATGTGGTTGTCTCACCTAGGTTTCTTAAGATGAATGCACAAACTAAGTCGCTCTGGATAAGAGCGTCTGGTTAATGACTTAAATGTAAATGTATTGATTAAACATCAAGACAAAGTGTTTCCCCTACATGCTTAATGTAAACACTCTCCATTAAAGATAATGGTAGACATGTCTATTTCTCATTCTGAGACACTGCCCTTTTTCCCTGAAGAGAGGCACTTGTCATGTAGAGTATGACTTTAAAGGGATAGTTCACCCAAATGAGAAAATTACATATCTGTTTCCTCCTGCTAGTAGGCCGTCATTGTAAATAAGAATTTGTTCTTAACTAACTTGTTAAAACAATATATATGTATATAATAATTTTGTCATTTGGGTTGAATATCCCTTTAAAGGGGACTTACTGTCACAGAGTTGAAGAGGAGGGGCCTCCCATTTGAGTGAAAACCACAGGAGCGCTTAAACAAGCACAAGCCGAAGCCCTCGCAGGGCTGTCATTTTGCGGAGGCAGAATCCATCATTATTTCAAGAGGCACATTATGTGGAGCAGATGGATTCACCCATCTCAGAGAGTTAAAGAGGAGAGCTGTCACTGAAAACAACTGCCTCGCACAATTCATAGAAAGCTAATTAGAGTGCATCATGATCAAAGACCCATAACTACTGTTCTCACTCAACACTTCATATATCATTATGTACATTATGTGACAAGGCTGAGACTTTGAATTAGCGCCATTTTCTCCTTGTCAGTCAATGTTTTGATTTGTGCACAGATGAGATGGAGATGACAGAATCCAGAATGTTCTTTGGCACCGTTCTGTGATGTCATTATGTCTTATCGTTAGGGTTGTTTTAGTAAACACAGTTCAAGGGAATTTCCTCAACAACATTCATGTTATTATTCCTCATGCATTTTTACAGCTAAATGTTTCAGGAGGAAATCATCTCGAAGTGCCGTCTGTGACTTGTTCTAACAACAACAGGACTCCTTATGTCTTCCCAAGCTCCACTCTTCTAGCCTGGGTACCAGTCTGTTTGACTGATCATTCTTAACATGACGTGAAGGAGTGGAATGTAAGCAAAACATTCTCGGTTCTCGATTTCAGGCTACCAGTTTTCAGGTTATATTTCTCCTAACACTAGGGCCACATAATCCTAAAACCAAGAAGCTCTACCAGTAAACTAACATTGAACGAAGGCGCATGATTTGCACTGTTGTGTATTCCAATGTATCCACTCACTGGTTCTCCTTGGTACCATTTGGCATTGAATTTCTCGGGAACTCTCAGACTGAAAGATGCGTTGCGGGTCACGTCGTACATCTTGTTGTCCACGATCCCATGGGACTCTGGATAGAGGCCCTGTGGGAGTAACACACATACACACACCAGTGCTTTGACAGCTGCAGGGCTAAGTAAGTGGACCTATCATCTGTAACTTTACATCTAAACCACTTCATCACAGAGAGCCACAGGCTAACCAACTGGAGCCACAGGTTAACCAACTGGAGCCACAGGTTAACCCACTGGAGCCACAGGTTAACCCACTGGAGCCACAGGTTAACCCACTGGAGCCACAGGTTAACCCACTGGAGCCACAGGTTAACCCACTGGAGCCACAGGCTAACCAACTGGAGCCACAGGTTAACCCACTGGAGCCACAGGTTAACCCACTGGAGCCACAGGTTAACCCACTGGAGCCACAGGTTAACCCACTGGAGCCACAGGTTAACCCACTGTGTGTTGAAAGCGAAGTCTGGCGGCTATTTGAAAGGTGTGGGTTAATGAAATCACCGCCCATGATTGCATACCTCAACCACGGTTTCTCCTGAGATGCAGCATGTCCACCATCAAGCCACAAGAGGAGGTCCTTTGTTATCATTAGTGGTAAGTTACTATTTGATGGATAAGGTGATTTAAAGATTCATCTTTCTTTTAAGTGGATTCCATTTTCAAATAAACAAATAAGCCAGTTGTGTATACAATTTTGCAGAGTAACCGACGCCTGACTGATTCCATATTAGATAATAATAATATGCCATTTAGCAGACGCTTTTATCCAAAGCGACTTACAGTCATGCGTGCATACATTTTTGTGTATGGGTTGTCCTGGGGATCGAACCCACTACCTTGGCGTTACAAGCGCCGTGCTCTACCAGTTGAGCTACAGAGGACCACTAGATCAACTAAGACAAGCAGAGCAACACGCTTACAGTCACAATGGTGTAGTGGTTGGGGAAGGTCTTGGTGGGATAGGCAGGTCTCATGTATGAGGTAGTGGTGCCACAGTTGCCTGAAATAGAAGGAAATGAAAACTAGTTAAAAGATGCCAAAGTAAAAGGATCATTTCACCAAATGGGTTTAAAAGAGGTCAGACTGACGTCTTTTGCGACGGCGCTGACATAAGCGGCCAAATAAACAGAATTGTTTCTTGAAACAGGATCATTTCCCCCAAATTGGTTGAAAAGACGATAATGTTTTTACATGTCTTTTTAGCCACCAGTAAGCGACGTCTTTACTTGGTTGTAATCTGACGTCGTTTCAACCTGAAACCAAATTTCAACCAGAAAACAACTTCTTTGCAAGGTCTCTGGCCAAAGGTTGCCCTACACGCCAGAAAACAATGGTGTGCTTGGTGACTTACGTAATTTGCTGATGACTGGAAGAAGACTGCCGTAGGCCTTTAAATAACCTGCCCGGAAGCCATCCATAGACACCAGGATCAGAGGGGGTTTGGAAAAACTGGGGATACAAACAGAGAAAGAGAATGAGCTGTATTGAGGTTAAAACAGAACATACATTTTTCCTGGAAAGCATGAATCTAAATCTGTCTGAGTCTGGCACAGTGTGGATGGTCCAGTTCCACTGATACAGTAGTGGTGCTGTGGCTTTATGTGGAGGAACACAAAGCAGCCCTTTGAATGGGGGGAACTGACGTGAACGGACTAGATGAGAAGGAAAGGCAGGGTGGATTCAGCCCACACAGAGAGAAGAAGGGGAGGGGCAGGAAGAGGTCTGTTGCTGGATGTCTCCATCCAAGATGAGTCAGATGTATCAAAGGCCTGTGGGTTAAACAGTTTCCCCTTTCCCCGAGAACGGAAACTTTCAACTGAAATACATCGCTTTTTTTCTCCCTCTCTTTCTTCCTTTTCTTCCTTCCCTTTCTTTCTTCCGCTCCCTCTCTCTTTTCTCCAACATAAGGGGTAACAGAGATAAGTGATGTTGTTGTCGTCCTCTGTAGCTCAACTGGTAGAGCACGGCGCTTGTAACGCCAAGGTAGTGGGTTCGATCCCCGGGACCACCCATACACAAAAATGTATGCACGCATGACTGTAAGTTGCTTTGATTTCGGTGTTTTCCTGTGAAGGCTAACGACTCATAAAATAAACCCTAATTTGAAGTTATAGTCAATGGAACCCCCCCCCCCCCCCAAAAAAAAGATAAAACACAAGAATGAGTGACAACAGGTCATTAAGAAAAGAAAAAAACATTCAAAAGAAAAACAACTTTAATTAGTTCAAAGCACTTTGGAAAGATCTTTCAGACTAAAAATGGCTTCAAGACAACCAGCTGTTTACTTTTCCATAGTCTAACAAGTCTGTGGTCCCGTCCTTATTGCACAACACGCCAGACACACACACACCCCGCCCTCCCAATACACAGCCCCATTAGCTAAGTTTCCATAGACACTGAACATCTGCACTACAACTTCTCCATCATAAAAACCAGGAGTAATGTATTTGGGTTAATCCTGTTGGCCCCGCAGCCTTGTGAATGTTGACCTGTTTAAAGGTCTTGCTCACATCGGCTACCGATGTGGTGTGTTTTTGTCTGTAGTACGCACAGATTGTTGTATGACTAAGTAACAAAAGCACACTGTGTGTATATACTATCAAGCAGTTTCAATCAAGGACTGTGCTGTGCTCTCCCTTATAGCACAGTGGGACCTCCAAGTTCAACAGTAGATCCTATCTTCAGACTGTGGTGTATGAAAGTGTTTCTCACAGAGAAAGTACTGTAGTTGTGGAAAATTACTTACCCGGCAGGACATTGTGGTGTTTGAATGTCCTCACACTCCTCTTCTATCCAGGACTTCACTCCCACTGGAAAATATTATTATAATCAACCATACTATCGTCACTAATTTGAGGCTGATGTGGCGAACTACCAAACACATCAAATCTACAGTACATCTATCTACTAGACTAAAATCATGTTACACCACATCTAATATTTCAAAAATGTATGAAGTGAGCGTTGTGCTTGGACCGCTTAGGCTAAAGCAAGCCAAGTAATGGCGAATACTAGCTAAAATGACCATGAGTTAAAGTTTTATTACAGTAGTTAAGAGTGATAAGTATGAAGCCAACTGGATGACTCTGAAAGAGCTCTAAAATGCAGATGTGAGATATAGTCTAAGCCAGTGTTTCTCAACCTCTGGTTCCTGGACCGGCACCTCAGATGGTCAACTCTCTGACACCCATTTAGTCAGTTCTAGAAGTGTTAGTGTAAGCGGGTGTCCAAATAGGAAGGACCTAGCTTGCTGGTCCATGGTACAAATAAGGTTGAGAAACACTGGTCTAAGCATTTATAAGATGGTCAAGGATAGTGAAAGATTGAGAGGGCCTTATGATGGGGTTGGGGAATTCATTCCACCACACTGGAGGAGCTAGAAAAGAGAGAGACCAACATCAATCAGAAATCAACACACACAAGGATATCTGTGTGACTCTGATCTCAAAGTGCATTGGAACTATAGGGAGAAGATGATTTTACAATCAGAGGTGGAATTCACAGTGTATATTCAGCTGCAAATGTGTTAAATCCTAAAATCCCTTGACACAATGTCCTAATATCTGGTGTGCCTTACTTTCCTTGGGAAAACAACTCTACCAACTGTAAACAACCAACTGTAAACAACCAACTCTACCAACTGTAAACAACCAACTCTACCAACTGTAAACAACCAACTGTAAACAACCAACTCTACCAACTGTAAACAACCAACTGTAAACAATCAACTCTACCAACTGTAAACAACCAACTGTAAACAACCAACTCTACCAACTGTAAACAACCAACTGTAAACAACCGACTCTACCAACTGTAAACAACCAACTGTAAACTGTCTGAGTATAGGCCTTTACGTAACATTGCACATCAGACCTGGGCCAAATACTGCAATCCATGCAGGGTCAGTTTAGTCTATGGTTTTACCTTTGCAGGAGCTGTAGTAGTTTGCACAGCAGTCCCCTGCTTTCACACAGTCATCCGAGCAGGAGCACAGGCTATTGGCCAACCTCTCCTCACCACAGCGGAATATGGAGCAGGTCCAAAGCTGACCTGAGAGGAGAGAGAGACAGAGCGAGAGAAAGTGAGAGAGTAAAACAGAGTTTATGACAGAGAAAAAGAGGGAGAATGTGAGTGTGAGAGAAGGAGTGAGAGAGAGAGAGGAGAGAGAGGAGAGAGAGGAGAGAGAGGAGAGAGAGGAGAGGAGAGGGAGGAGAGGGAGGAGAGAGAGGAGAGAGGAGAGGGAGGAGAGAGGAGAAAGATAGGAGAGGGAGAGAGAAAGAGAGAGAGAGAGAGGGGAAGATAGGAGAGGGAGAGAGGGAGAGAGAGAGAGGGGAAGATAGGAGAGGGAGAGAGAGAGAGAGAGAGGGGAAGATAGGAGAGATAGAAGGGAAGATAGGAGAGGGAGAGAGAGAGGGGAAGATATGAGAGGGAGAGAGAGACCATTATAAATACAACCCAAATTTATGTTTATTTATTTTCCCATTTGTACTTGAACTATTTGAACATTGTTACAACACTGTACAGTGACGGAAAAAAGTATTTGATCCCCTGCTGATTTTGTACGTTTGCCCACTGACAAAGACATGATCAGTCTATAATTTTAATGGTAGGTTTATTTGAACAGTGAGCGATAGAATAACAACAAAGAAATCCAGAAAAACACATGTCAAAAATTGTATAAATTGATTTGCATTTTAATGAGGGAAATAAGTATTTGACCCCTTCTCAATTAGAAAGATTTCTGGTTCCCGGGTGTCTTTTATACAGGTAACGAGCTGAGATTAGGAGCACACTCTTAAAGGGAGTGCTCCTAATCTCAGTTTGTTACCTGTATAAAAGACACCTGTCCACAGAAGCAATCAATCAATCAGATTCCAAACTCTCCACCATGGCCAAGACCAAAGAGCTCTCCAAGTATGTCAGGGACAAGAATGTAGACCTACACAAGGCTGGAATGGGCTACAAGACCATCGCCAAGCACCTTGGTGAGAAGGTGACAACAGTTGGTGCGATTATTCGCAAATGGAAGAAACACAAAAGAACTGTCAATCTCCCTCGGCCTGGGGCTCCATGCAAGATCTCACCTTGTGGAGTTGCAATGATCATGAGAACGGTGAGGAATCAGCCCAGAACTACACAGGAGGATCTTGTCAATGATCTCAAGGCAGCTGGGACCATAGTCACCAAGAAAACAATTGGTAACACACCACGCCGTGAAGGACTGAAATCCTGCAGCGCCCGCAAGGTCCCCCTGCTCAAGAAAGCACATATACAGGGCCGTCTGAAGTTTGCCAATGAACATCTGAATGATTCAGAGGAGAACTGGGTGAAAGTGTTGTGGTCAGATGAGACCAAAATCGAGCTCTTTGGCATCAACTCACCATCGCCGTGTTTGGAGGAGGAGGAATGCTGCCTATGACCCCAAGAACACCATCCCCACCGTCAAACATGGAGGTGGAAACATTATGCTTTGGGGGGGGGGGGGGGGGGGGGGGGGTTTCTGCTAAGGGGACAGGACAACCTCACCGCATCAAAGGGACGATGGACGGGGCCATGTACCGTCAAATCTTGGGTGAGAACATCCTTCCCTCAGCCAGGGCATTGAAAATGGCTCGTGGATGGGTATTCCAGCATGACAATGACCCAAAACACAAGGCCAAGGCAACAAAGGAGTGGCTCAAGAAGAAGTACATTAAGGTCCTGGAGTGGCCTAGCCAGTCTCCAGACCTTAATCCCATAGAAAATCTGTGGAGGGAGCTGAAGGTTCGAGTTGCCAAACGTCAGCCTCGAAACCTTAATGACTTGGAGAAGGTCTGCAAAGAGGAGTGGGACAAAATCCCTCCTGAGATGTGTGCAAACCTGGTGGCCAACTACAAGAAACGTTTGACCTCTGTGATTGCCAACAAGGGTTTTGCCACCAAGTACTAAGTCATGTTTTGCAGAGGGGTTAAATACTTATTTCCGTCATTAAAATGCAAATCAATTTATAACATTTTTGACATGCCTTTGTCTGGATGTTTTTGTTGTTATTCTGTCTCTCACTGTTCAAATAAACCTACCATTAAAATTATAGACTGATCATGTCTTTGTCAGTGGGCAAACGTACAAAATCAGCAGGGGATCAAATACTTTTTTCCCTCACTGTATATATACAGTGGGGAGAACAAGTATTTGATACACTGCCGATTTTGCAGGTTTTCCTACTTACAAAGCATGTAGAGGTCTGTAATTTTTATCATAGGTACACTTCAACTGTGAGAGATGGAAACTAAAACAAAAATCCAGAAAATCTCATTGTATGATTTTAAAGTAATTAATTTGCATTTTATTGCATGACATAAGTATTTGATCACCTACCAACCAGTAAGAATTCCGGCTCTCACAGACCTGTTAGTTTTTCTTTAAGAAGCCCTCCTGTTCTCCACTCATTACCTGTGTTAACTGCACCTGATTGAACTCGTTACCTGTATAAAAAAGACACCTGTCCACACACTCAATCAAACTGACTCCAACCTCTCCACAATGGCCAAGACCAGAGAGCTGTGTAAGGACATCAGGAATACAATTGTAGACCTGCACAAGGCTGGGATGGGCTACAGGACAAATGGCAAGCAGCTTGGTGAGAAGGCAACAACTGTTGGTGCAATTATTACAAAATGGAAGAAGTTCAAGATGATGGTCAATCACCCTCGGTCTGGGGCTCCATGCAAGATCTCACCTCGTGGGGCATCAATGAACATGAGGAAGGTGAGGGATCAGCCCAGAACTACACGGCAGGACCTGGTCAATGACCTGAAGAGAGCTGGGACCACAGTCTCAAAGAAAACCATTAGTAACACACTACGCCGTCATGGATTAAAATCCTGCAGCGCACGCAAGGTCCCCCTGCTCAAGCCAGCGCATGTCCAGGCCCGTCTGAAGTTTGCCAATGACCATCTGGATGATCCAGAGGAGGAATGGGAGAAGGTCATTTGGTCTGATGAGACAAAAATAGAGCTTTTTCGTCTAAACTCCACTCGCCGTGTTTGGAGGAAGAAGAAGGATGAGTACAACCCCAAGAACACCATCCCAACCGTGAAGCATGTAGGTGGAAACATCATTCTTTGGGGATGCTTTTCTACAAAGGGGACAGGACGACTGCACCGTATTGAAGGGAGGATGGATGGGGCCATATATCATGAGATCTTGGCCAACAACCTCCTTCCCTCAGTAAGAGCATTGAAGATGGGTCGTGACTGGGTCTTCCAGCATGACAACGACCCGAAACACACAGCCAGGGCAACTAAGGAGTGGCTCCGTAAGAAGCATCTCAAGGTCCTGGAGTGGCCTAGCCAGTCTGCAGACCTGAACCCAATAGAAAATCTTTGGAGGGAGCTGAAAGTCCGTATTGCCCAGCGACAGCCTCGAAACCTGAAGGATCTGGAGAAGGTCTGTATGGAGGAGTGGGTCAAAATCCCTGCTGCAGTGTGTGCAAACCTGGTCAAGACCTACAGGAAACGTATGATCTCTGTAATTGCAAACAAAGGTTTCTGTACCAAATATTAAGTTCTGCTTTTCTGATGTATCAAATACTTATTTCATGCAATAAAATACATATTAATTACTTAAAAATCATACAATGTGATTTTCTGGATTTTTGTTTTAGATTCCGTCTCTCACAGTTGAAGTGTACCTATGATAAAAATGATAGACCTCTACATGCTTTGTAAGTAGGAAAACCTGCAAAATCGGCAGTGTATCAAATACTTGTTCTCCCCACTGTACATAATATGACATTTGAAATGTCTTTATTATTTTGGAACATCTGAGTGTAATGTTTACTGTTAATATTTATTGTTTATTTCACTTTTGTTTACTATCTACTTCACTTGCTTTGGCAATGTTAACATATGTTTCCCATACCAATAAGGCCCTTAAATTGAATTGAATTGAATTGAGAGAGAGAAGAGGAGAGAGAGAGAGAGAGAGAGAGAGAGAGAGAGCGAGGGGAGGAAGATATGAGGAGAGAAGAGGGGGAAGATATGAGCGAGAGGAGAGAGGAGAGAGAGAGAGAGAGAGAGAGAGAGAGAGAGGGGGAACGACATGAGAGAGAGAGGAAGGAGAGAGAGGAGAGCGAGAGAGAGAGAGAGAGAGAGAGGAGGGAGAAAGATAGGAGAGAGAGAGAGAGAGAGAGAAAGAGAGAGGAGAGAGTACGTGTGTGTGAGCGTGTGTTTGTGTGTAGGAGAGCAACTTAAGGACAAACTCAGAGAGCAGTGGTTGAGGAGTCTGTAATCACTCCTACCACTGTTGGCTTCTCACAAAGCACTACAGTAAAGCAAGTGAGTTATACCCATTACAACAGACAGAGACAGACCAACATAGTAACAAACTCCTGCATAACAAGTAAAACAACGGGGCCAGTTTACTGTAAGTGTTGCTGTATAGCTAGTAGCAAACACAGAGCCAGTTTACTGTAAGTGTTGCTGTTTAGCTAGTAGCAAACACAGAGCCAGTTTACTGTAAGTGTTGCTGTTTAGCTAGTAGCAAACACAGAGCCAGTTTACTGTAAGTGTTGCTGTTTAGCTAGTAGCAAACACAGAGCCAGTTTACTGTAAGTGTTGCTATTGTATGTGTAGCTATTGTATATTGTTTTTTTGTGGTGTGGTTTTCATATAAGCCCTTGGGCTTCCAACCCACACCTGCACACACAACATCTGTATTGTTGTTTATCACTTGTTTTCTTTGGTGCAAATATATTTAACTAAGAGCCAGCTTACTGTAAGTGTTGCTGTTTAGCTAGTAACAGCAGACACTGAAGTGTGAGTCTACAGAACATCTCCTCACAGACTGAACCAGAGGTGCCGACTCGACTCGCGATGGTCTCTCTCTCTCTCTCTCCCCCTCCCTCCCAACTGGTCAAGTGGAAGGTCTGACAGGGAGATGCTAAGCTCAGTTAGTCTCAGGAGACATGCATCATTGTTACAGTAATCAAGGGGAACAACAACAAATTCCCATGTGGCTCAGTTGGTAGAGCATGGCACTTGCAACGCCAGCGTTGAGGGTTTGATTCCCATGGGGACAAGTACGGAAAATGTATGCACTCACTACTGTAAGTCGCTCTGGATAAGAGCATCTGCTAAATGACTGTAATGTAAAATATAAAGCCACATGGTGTGGGGAAACTACACTGCCCAGAATACCACATCGACGCTAGGGGACCGCTGGCCACAGTGACCCATGTAACCGGTGTGGAATGGCTAGCTAGTTAGCAGTGACATCACTCGCTCTGAGACCTTGAAGAAGTTCTTACTCTGCAAGGGCTGTGGAGCGATAGGTAACAATGTTTTGTGGGAGGCAGTTGTTGATGTGTTCAGAGGGTTCGAGGTGAGGAGAGCGAAGAAATCAATGCTGTTACACTAGCAAGGACCCTAAAAGTTAAGACTTGGCACTGTGGATTTCATAAGGGATGATGTTGCACACGACTGACCACATGGGTTCTATCATGCTCTGCCTCATCCCAGAGTCAACATGCCTGCCATCTGAAGGGAATATTCCAGTCCACCTAAAAACGTGTTTTATAATTTATTATGTACAGGAGAAAGCATTTATCTTTAAGTCCACGCACGCACACAAACATGTACACACACCACACACCTACAGTGCATTCTGAAAGTATTCAGACCCCTTGACTTTTTCCACATTTTGTTACGTTACAGCCTTATTCTAAAATGGAATAGAAAAATCAAAAATCCTCATCAATCTACACACAATACCCCATAATGACAAAGCGAAAACAGATTTTTAATACATTTTTGCAAAATGTATTAAAAATACAAAAGATAAATATCTCATTTACATAAGTATTCAGACCTTTTTGCTATGAGACTCAAAATTGAGCTCAGGTGCATCCTGTTTCCATTGATCATCCTTGAGATGTTTCTACAACTTGATTGGAGTCCACCTGTGGTAAATTCAAGTGATTGGACATGATTTGGAAAGGCACACAGCTGTCTATATAAGGTCCCACAGTTGACAGTGCATGTCAGAGAAAAAACCAAGCCAGGAGGTCGAAGAAATTGTCCGTAGAGCTCTGAGACAGGATTGTGTCAAGGCACACATCTGGGGAAGGGTTCCAAAAAGATTCTGCAGCATTGAAGGTCCACAAGAAGACAGTGGCCTCCATCATTCTTAAATGGAAGAAGTTTGGAACCACCAAGACTCTTTCTAGAGCTGGCCGCCTGGCCAAACTGAGCAATCGGGGGAGAAGGGCCTTGGTCAGGGAGGTGACCAAGAACCCGATGGTCACTCTGACAGAGTTCCTCTGTGGAGATGGGAGAACCTTCTAGAAGGACAGCCAGCTCTGCAGCACTCCACCAATCAGGCCTTTATGGTAGAGTTGTCAGACGGAAGCCACTCCTCAGTAAAAGGCACATGACAGCCTGCTTGGAGTTTGCCAAAAGGCAGATAAAGGACTCTCAGACCATGAGAATCAAGATTCTCTGGTCTGATGAAACCAAGATTGAACTATTTGGCCTGAATGCCAAGCGTCACGTCTGGAGGAAACCTGGCACTATCCCTACTGTGAAGCATGGTGGTGGCAGCATCATGCTGTGGGGATGTTTCTCAGCGGCAGGGACTGGGAGACTAGTCAGGATCGAGGGAAAGATGAACGGCGCAAAGTACAGAGAGATCCTTGATGAAAACCTGCTCCAGAGTGCTCAGGACCTCAGACTGGGGCGAAGGTTCACCTTCCAACAGGACAGCGACCCTAAGCACACAGCTAAGACAACGCAGGAGTAGCTTCGGGACAAGTCTCTGAATGTCCTTGAGTGGCCCAGCCAGAGCCCGGACTTGAACCTGAGCAAACATCTCTGGAGACGCCTGAAAATAGCTGTGCAGTGACGCTCCCCATCCAACCTGGCAGAGCTTGAGAGGATCTGCAGAGAAGAATGAGAGAAACTCCCCAAATACAGGTGTGCCAAGCTTGTAGCATCATACTCAAGAAGACTCAAGGCTGTAATTTCTGCCAAAGGTGCTTCAACAAAGTACTGAGTAAAGGGTCTGAATACTTTTATACATTTGCAAAAAAAATGTTTGCTTTGTCATTATGGGGTATTGTGTGTAGATGGATGAGGGGAAAAAACGATGTAATCAATTTTAGAATAAGGCTGTAACATACCAAAATGTGGAAAAAGTCAATGGGTCTGAATACTTTCCGAATGCACTGTATACAGTAAGCAAACGAACATGGTGGGTAACCTGGCCCGTTCTCTCCTGCTCTACATACCTCTGGTAGTGTAGTGTTGCAGTAATATGTGAGGTAGGCTGGGGACTTACCAGGCTCCATGCACACCTCAGTGTAATCCAGACAGCAGTTTCCATCTTTCTCACAGGACAAGTCACAGTGGCACGATGCAGACTTGTCCCTGCTGCCCTTCATACACCTGTTTTTACAGCTCGTCACTACAGGGGATGAGGAAAATATGTCATTTTGTTACTCAGGATGTCAACTACGCTAATCAGAATGACATTTATGTTATTTAGAATGTCATTTGTTACTCAGAATGACATTTATGTTACTCAGAATGTCAAAAACTTTACTCAGAATGTTATTTACATTCCTCCGAATAATTGGGAACATTTGACAGATTACAAAAAGCAGGAATCAGTACATATGATTGGTTAGTTGTGGCTGAAAACACATTGAATGCTGTGTATAATATGGATGTTAATGCTAACCCATAGCTGTTTCTTTTTCTCTTTTCTCAAAAGAGAATATTGAACCATTGAAACTGGAAAGGGAATGTATTAAATTACAGACTAGAACAGGATTTCAATTTTTACTGAAAAGCATCTATTTAGTGGGCGAGCTCATAAAGACAATGGCGGTGTTGTTTCTGTGTTCCAAACTGTCAGTTTTGCACAGACGCCAAGCACAAGGGCTAAAAGGGCCGTACACAGAGTTGGCTAGTTGTTTACTAAACCGTACCTTTAACATCGCAGCGCTGCTTCAAGGCAAATACGACCACGATGACAGTGATCATCAGCAAGCAGAGCAACAGTACCTATTGGCGAGACGAGAAAAAAATATTAGAAAATTCCCCATGTGTAGGAGTCAATCAATCAATGACATTTAAAGTTCTTTTTTTATCAGCAGTTGTCACAAAGTGCTTCACAGTAACCCAGCCTAGAAAAGGAAGAAAAGTAGAAGTGAGAGTACAGTGGCCAGAAAATATCCCTAGAATGAAAACATCTAGAAAGGAATAGAGATACATTTGGCGTCTTGTATAGTCCACTATTATTATTTTCACAGTATTCTGCCTACCCAAACCATAGTGCTGGCTTGGATATTTTATTTTCACATTGTCCTTTCCAAGCATGGTTCCAGTACCTATGGTGGATAGGTACCAGGCCAGCACAGTACATATAATGGGTACAGTTGAAGTCGGAAGTTTACATACACCTTAGCCAAATACATTTAAACTCAGTTTTTCACAATTCCTGACATTTAATACTAGTATAAATTCCCTGTCTTAGGTCAGTTAGGATCACCACTTTATTTTAAGAATGTGAAATGTCAGAATAATAGTAGAGAGAATTATTTATTTCAGCTTTTATTTCTTTCATCACATTCCCAGTGGGTCAGAAGTTTACATACACTCAATTAGTATTTGGTAGCATTGCCTTTATATTGTTTAACTTGGGTCAAACGTTTCAGGTAGCCTTCCAGAATATTCCAACAATAAGTTGGGTGAATTTTGGCCCATTCCTCCTGACAGAGCTGGTGTAACGGAGTCAGGTTTGTAGGCCTCCTTGCTCGCATACGCTTTTTCAGTTCTGCCCACAAATGTTCTATAGGATTGAGGTCAGGGCTTTGTGATGGCCACTCCAATACCTTGACTTTGTTGTCCTTAAGCCATTTTGCCACAACTTTGGAAGTATGCTTGGGGTCATTGTCCATTTGGAAGACCCATTTGCGACCAAGCTTTAACTTCCTGACTGATGTCTTGAGATGTTGCTTCAATATATCCACATAATTTTCCTTCCTCATGATGCCATCTATTTTGTAAAGTGCACCAGTCCCTCCTGCAGCAAAGCACCCCCACAGCATGATGGGGTGAGGTTGTGTCTCTCTCTGGCGGGAGGTAAGCTTGGCTTATATGGCTTATATACATAGTTTAAGCTTTGTCGAGTAAAGCTTAAACTATGTATTTAGATTGTAGTTAGGTATTGTAGGTAGTTATCGTGGGTTGTTGTATGTAATTATTGTAGGTATTGTATTCAGCTGAGCCCGGTGAAGCACGAAGCTAGCTAACCCACTACCTGGACTAGCTAGCGGGTAGCTACTGGTAACTATTAGCAACTGTGGATAGTTGTTTCACGCCTGAGAGTACATGTAATTACGCCAGCTAGCTGCCTACAATAATTACATACAATAATGCCTACCATTCAGCTGTTTTTCTAACCTCATTGTCTGAAGCGTTAACGTTAGGTAGTAAGTAGCTACTGTGCTCGAAATGTAGCTAGCTTGTTGCTACCTGGATAGCTACTAAACAATAGCTGGAACGACCTACCGAACAGACGCGAACTGGCTGAGTCAATTCAGTGGCTAGCTTTGCACGTGGCTAGCTAACAGTAGCTGCTAGGGGTAAGTTATAACCTACATTTGTGTTTTGTTTTTACATACTGGTAACCAGTATGTAAAGTCGTTCAAGGGAATTCGGGACATGGGTGACTAGTTAACGTTAGCTTGGCTCTCTCTGTGTGTTCGTGCCGTGGGAGGACGGGTTTCTTCGTAGGCAAAAAGCAATGGCTAGCTACTATGCTAACTATTCTAGCTAACTAACTGGCTGAATAAGTTGACGACGGACTCGCTCAAGCTGTCGGGACTAACCCACAACGTTAGACACTGACACGAATGATCTGCTTGGCGTGTTGACACACTGGTGGTTTGTTGTGGCCGAGTATTGGTGCTAAACCGTGTTGTTGGAGTCCGGCATGCTAGTTGGCTGTGGCGTCATATGACTAGGTGCCCTGGACGGTTTTCACCAGAAGAATACTGTACCAAGTTAGCTAGCTGAATAAACTAAGTTAGTCTATTCCTAGAAAACATTGAACCGCTGTAGTTTACAACAATTATAGTTTCTGAGGTGGAAGTTGGGAGAGTTATATTTGGGTGTTTCAGTGAAACGTAAGTGAGGGAGGCCCCGCTCTCTCGCTTTCCCAGATGTTTAGTTTATTTCATTCCGATCTCCTTTGCATTATTGTAGCCATTTTCTGTAGCCTGTCAACTATGCCCCTGTCTATCCCTGTTCTCTCCTCTCCGCACAGGCTATACAAACGCCTCACACCGCGTGGCTGCTGCCTCTCTAACCTGGTGGTCCCTGCACGCACGACCCACGTGGAGTTCCAGGTCTCCGGCAGCCTCTGGAACTGCCGTTCTGCGGCTAACAAGGCAGAGTTCATCTCAGCCTATGCTACCCTCCAGTCCCTCGACTTCTTGGCGCTGACGGAAACATGGATTACCACTGAAAACACTGCTACTCCTACTGCTCTCTCCTCGTCTGACCATGTGTTCTCGCATACCCCGAGAGCCTCTGGTCAGCGGGGTGGTGGCACAGGAATCCTCATCTCGCCCAAGTGGACATTCTCTCTTTTTCCCCTGACCCATCTGTCTATCTCCTCATTTTGAATTCCATGCTGTCACAGTCACTAGCCCATTCAAGCTTAACATCCTTGTCATTTATCGCCCTCCAGGTTCCCTTGGAGAGTTCATCAATGAGCTTGACGCCTTGATAAGTTCCTTTCCTGAGGATGGCTCACCCCTCACAGTTCTGGGTGACTTCAACCTCCCTACGTCTACCTTTGACTCATTTCTCTCTGCCTCCTTCTTTCCACTCCTCTCCTCTTTTGACCTCACCCTCTCACCGTCCCCCCCTACTCACAAGGCAGGCAATACGCTTGACCTCATCTTTACTAGTTGCTGTTCTTCCTCTGTAGCTCAGCTGGTAGAGCACGGCGCTTGTAACGCCAAGGTAGTGGGTTCGATCCCCGGGACCACCCATACACAAAAATTTATGCACGCATGACTGTAAGTCGCTTTGGATAAAAGCGTCTGCTAAATGGCATATTATTATTATTATTATTATTATTATTATATTATGTCTCCGACCACTACTTTGTATCCTTTTCTCTCTCGCTCTCCTCCAACACTACTCACTCTGCCCCTACTCAGATGGTAATGCGCCGTCGCAACCTTCGCTCTCTCTCTCCCGCTACTCTCTCCTCTTCCATCCTATCATCTCTTCCCTCTGCTCAATCCTTCTCCCTCCAATCTCCTGATTCTGCCTCCTCAACCCTCCTCTCCTCCCTTTCTGCATCCTTTGACTCTCTATGTCCCCTATCCTCCCGGCCGGCTCGGTCCTCCCCTCCTGCTCCGTGGCTTGACGACTCATTGCGAGCTCACAGAACAGGGCTCCGGGCAGCCGAGCAGAAATGGAGGAAAACTAGACTCCCTGCGGACCTGACATCTTTTCACTCCCTCCTCTCTACATTTTCTTCATCTGTTTCTGCTGCTAAAGCCACTTTCTACCACTCCAAATTCCAAGCATCTGCCTCTAACCCTAGGAAGCTCTTTGCCACCTTCTCCTCCCTGCTGAATCCTCCTCCCCCTCCCCCCCTCTCTGTGGATGACTTCGTCAACCATTTTGAAAAGAAGGTTGACGACAACCGATCCTCGTTTGTTAAGTCAATTGACACTGCTGGTCCTGCTCACACTGCCCTACCCTATGCTTTGACTTCTTTCTCCCCTCTCTCTCCAGATGAAATCTTGCGACTTGTGACGGCCAGCCGCCCAACAACCTGCCCGCTTGACCCTATCCCCTCCTCTCTTCTCCAGACCATCTCCGGTGACCTTCTCCCTTACCTCACCTCGCTCATCAACTCATCCTTGACCGCTGGCTATGTCCCTTCCGTCTTCAAGAGAGCGAGAGTTGCACCCCTTCTCAAAAACCAACACTCGATCCCTCTGATGTCAACAACTACAGACCAGTATCCCTTCTTTCTTGCGTACTATTGTTTGTACAGATGAACGTGGTACCTTCAGGCATTTAGAAATTGCTCCCAAGGATGAACCAGACTTGTGGAGGTCAAAAAAAAAAAATCTGAGGTCTTGGCTGATTTCTTTTGATTTTCCCATTATGTCAAGCAAAGAGGCACTGAGTTTGAAGGTAGGCCTTGAAATACATCCACAGGTACACCTCCAATTGACTCAAATGATGTCAATTAGCCTATCAGAAGCTTCTAAAGCCATGACATAATTTTCTGAAATTTTCCAAGCTGTTTAAAGGCACAGTCAACTTAGTGTATGTAAACTTCTGACCCACTGGAATTGTGATGTGACCCAGTGAATTATAAGTGAAATAATCTGTCTGTAAACAATTGTTAGAAAAGTTACTTGTGTCATGCACAAAGTACATGTCCTAACTGACTTACCAAAACTATAGTTTGTTAACAAGAAATGCGTGGAGTGGTTGAAAAATGAGTTTTAATGACTCCAACCTAAGTGTATGTAAACTTCCGACTTAAACTGTATATAATGTTATGGAAGCATAGCGTCCTGATGAACCATCTTGAATTAAGTGCTGTATGACCCTTGGATCTCTTCTCATCCGATCAAACTGTTATCCCCATTGTGACGCTATGTAGCACTCAGTCTGGTTTAACCAGGCTAGTACTTCTTTCTCTGCTTTATGATAGCCTTGTCCTATTTTATCCCAGTATTCAATCTTCTGGAGACTTTTTTGTGGCTTCTTTATATTGTGTACATAGGATTTTAAATCACTTTCACATGCACTGTTAGTAAGGCCAGTAAATCGAGACTGTCAAGTGACATCGCATACCACAGAAAGGTATTGTGTCAAAAAATTATGAAAAGGCGTTTGGCAGCAGTCTGGCTGCTGTTACCTTGGGAAATGTTATTGTAACTGTACGTTTCTTTGGCCTTGAGTGTATCAGGAAAACATCTAGCTGCTTATATCGAAAGAAACCACAGAAACTCAATAAA